ATTCAGGTCATCAAATGCCTCTATTAGATAGGTAGATAGAGGGTCACAAGAGGATGATCCCCATAATTCATGTTTGCAGTTAAAGTCTCCCAGGATAACAAGGGGTCCAGGAATGCGAGAGAGTAAGCTGTTCAGCTCTCCAAGCAGTTCCAAATTAGGGTGAGGTATATAAATTGAAATTATTGACATACTAAGGGCTCTGGCTGCAACAATGTGGAGGTTAGTACTGTGAGTGGGAATATCAATTTGGGAAAATGTTACAGAATTTTTAATAAGTAAGGCGCAACCAGCCCGACCGTCGTCCCTGTCATCCCGGAGGCACGCAAATCCCGAGATAGAAAACCTTCTATCTGGTCTGAGCCATGTCTCAGAGAGGGCAAGGGCAACCGGAGTGAACTTGTTGATAAGATATATAAGTTCCTGTTTTTTATTCCTGATGCTTCTACCATTCCACTGTAGGAGAACTGGATCCATTTCTTTTGTTTTGGAACATGACAATAAGTTGGTGTAGCAGGGTCAGAACGTATGGGGGGGATGATATCCGAGAGTTTTTCCAAAATATTGATCAAGGCTGAAGTCAATAGTTCTGCGAGGTTAACATTAGGGGTTGGTGACGGAGGCTCTCTTGGAGCTTGTAATGCGCTGCCATTTGGCAGGGAATATGCCGGTGTTTTTATTAAGTTTTCGTGGGCTTCTACATCATAACCAGGACCTGATGGAGCCCTAGTACGCTGATTTAGGGTGACAGTTTTGTTATAAGACCTTTTAGGGGACATTGGTGAGCAATGTGGAGCATCAGTAATGAACGAGTTAAACTGAGAAGGTGTGGGGAGAGTTGACTTAACAGAATCTGAAAACAGCATGCGAGCGGGTCGGAAGCGTTTAGAGGCCTCAGAGTAAGAGATGATTTCCTCAGACATGACAATTTTTATTGACTTCTGTCTTGAGTGCTCTGAACATTTTGGGTCTGTAGTCATATGCCTACCGAGACATAAAAAGCATGAGGCATCAATGTCTGGGACTACACAGGAATCACCTAAATGATTTTGGGCACATTTGAAGCACCTGGGTTTTGATCGACAGGCTTTACTTACATGGCCAAAGCGGCAACAGTTGCGGCATTGTATTGTTGGGAGTTGGTATGTTTCAACAGGGAGTGCCATATTAAAACAGTATACCTTTTCAGGTAAGACTTGACCAATGAAAGTCAGGACTACTGTGGATGATGGGACCCATTGACTCTGGCTGTCTATAAAAAGTTTTCTTGAGAGGCGCCTCGCTTTAATAACCGGGCCACAATTACTGGGTGTTTTAAAGACAAAATCAGCTCTTCCATAGACCATTCTTTAGGGACATGTCTGATAATACCCATACGGGATACTTGATATCTAGGGATATTAGCAGATAACTTATTATTTGCTAAGATATTGTTGTCTAGGAAAGAGTTGGCTTCATCTGCATTTTTAAATTCGACAGAGATTTTGTTCCGTCCAACGGACTTGATACCGCCTTGAACTATACCCGGGACACGGTTTTTATGTAGTATTTGTGCAAGTTTCAATGCGCTTAAAGTGCTACCTTGGACGCTTAACTCCTCATTTTTGGAAATCTGGACTGAAAATGGCGCCTTGTCCACGTTGGAGAATTTCAATTTATTGTTGTTGTCGTATTCCGGCAAGACGAACATGGTTTGAGATGATTCAGAAGGAGACGTAAGTTTTTTCGGTTTTATAATGTCATCATCCAATGTAGAAGGTCTTTTCTGAGCAGACTTTGTTAATTGAGTTTGTGAGAATAAAGGTAAGGACGCCATCATGGCGTCGTCTTGGAGGTCGGCCCCCCTGTCCGGAGGGTCGTCCTCGCCTACATCCATCGAGACTTAATATTAAGAGACTTACCAAATTGCTGATTAAGTTAACCACAACCAACACAAAAGGGACAACACAATTTAGAATCTCAAAACACAAGTTGAACGTTTAAAACGAGGCCAAATTCAGAACACGTGCGTTAACCAACACACCGACGAGCAGAATCCTCAATCTAATGGTCAGTACACACGTAACGATATATCGTAGCGATTTCAAACTGTGCAGATAAATCGAACGTTCCTAGTGACTCCACACGCCTTCGATATCGGCGTCGATTGTTTGTTCTCCGCAGAAGCTCACGCAAGAAACATGTCATCCACGATGGAAGATTATGACGCACTTGAAATTTTTTTGAGTTATTTATTATAGGTACTTTTAAGATTAGTGATTGGCATTTGGTTCGATGGCTTTGTATTTTTCGACAAGCCTGTTATAGGCATTTTTTTTTGTTGCGATCATGATAATCCTTCTCTTTCTTCTTCCGATATGTTGCCATTTAAGAGCCAGCCGCATGTGCGCAAACTTGCGAGCTCCGTGAAGTACCAACTGCCGAACTGTAAACATTCGAAGCGGCAGATTTTTTTTGACAGATCGGAGATATTCTTCAGTTGATTTTTTAATTAGTGTTGCTATTATACCAAAATGGTAGCAACCAGCAAACAGGGAAATAAAGGGCGTATTTATTATTTAGTTTTAAATATTGATTTCAAATTAGTTGGGTAGAATTTGTCACACTCATCTTATAATAGTAATACAAGAGTAGGACTTCTGGAGATTGTAAAACTGATTGATATCTTGCATAGTTCTGTTTATTTTCACTTTCTGATTGGAATTTCTTGTATTTAACATGGTAATTTCACATAGTGTGTGAGAGAGATAAAAAACATATCATGGGGTTAATGAACTCATCTTCATACAGATGTTCTATATGCAATCTCCAGTGTTGAATATAAGCTTCTTGGCGGGATTTCATCGAGTGTGGTTGGCGCCTTATTTTAATTATTCTTAAATTCGTTTATAGTGGATATTGTGAAATAAAATTGGTATGATTTTGTGTTACAACTGTCTGCGTAATTGAAGAATTAGTAGAATCGTCAAAATATACACTATTCCGGTCAAGTAGACGTGAGAATTTTATTGTAGTATTGACTACCTTACATGAGTTTATCGAAAAAGCCAGCTCGATACATTTCGTGCCAAACACTTCAAGAAACATTAGAATGCGTCACACCTACATTCTTATGTAAAAAGAAAAACAGAATAATTTAACTTAAGACTAGGCTGTATGAGCATTGTTCCCTTTGCCTTCCCTGAAAAGGGAGAATTTAACAAAAAAAGGAAACGCTGCGGTCCGAATTAGGGATGGCGATTCTTTCCGAAAAAGATCGTTTTTAAAATCGATCGAATCGTAACCTAATGAATCGATCCACAAAAAAATCGAGGCCAATAATATCGATTTCTAAAAATTCGATCATTTTTCCAAGTCTTTGTTTATAATGTAATTTAAATCTATTTTATTAAAACAACTTGCATATTATAATTTATCGATCTCTTATCAGTAAAATCAGGTAATTGGTTGATAAAATATATTTTTAATCAAAGATTACAACAAACGTATCTTTTTTTATTAAAGAGGGGCGAAGGAATCCAAATATACAGCCATCTCGCGAGTGTTTTAATAGTTAACCCTTTAAACGGCATCACTTTTATAACGGGTACATTCAAATAATTTCATATACTTTTTTGGTTTATACCAAAAAAATAAAATAAAATCCAATGTCGATTTTAAGGGTCAAATATCGATTCACTGAATCGATTCAGTAGTACATATCGATTTATTAAATCTCTCTATTGGCTCCAAAAATCGATTCTTCGATTAATAGATCTTAGATCGCCATCCCTAGTCCGAATATGCGATTTTGTACAATTTGCACCGATAGCGATATCCATCTTTTACGTTGTTTAATAAAAATCTTAACACTTCACTTACTTTCTTTTTAAAATTTAAGGTATTTTGTAGTTTTAAACTATATAGTGTAAGTATACAAATTGTTATTTCTCTTTCTTTATTTTGGTTAACTATTTATTGTAGTATTGTATGACTCTTCTCGGATTTGTTTTTTATTCTCTTTTTCATCTTATTATCTTGGCAGATAATAAAATAACGTCTATTTCACTAAAAGTTTTTGATGAAGTATCGAACAGTAGTGTACATCTCCTTTTAACACAAGACAAATTGTGGAATCGTCATGTCATTTTTACAAAAATGCGATTAAATTACGGTCCGAATTGATTGCGCGCAAAAACTCACACACACTTTGCATTGTTCGTAACGTTGGCAGTGTTTTCGCAATTCGGACCGCAGGGAAAGAGAATATAACCTACGTTTGGGTACGGCCAGAGTGCACTCAGATTCAGATTCAGATTCAGACTCCGAAAACAAGCGCGAGAAATAAACAGTGTAGTTAAAGCAGGGTGGCCATAGTGGCAGCAGGCAACCTGCTTAAACTACAATGTACGGGTACGGCCAGAGTGCACTCAGATTCAGATTCTGAAAACAAGCGCGAGAAATAAACAGTGTACCCTAAGGGTGCGGCCAGAGTGCACTCAAATTCAGATTCTGAAAACAAGCGCGAGAAATAAACAGTGTAGTCTAAGCAGGTTGCCTGCTTTTTCTCGCGCTTTGTTTTCTGAGTCTGAATCTGAATCTGAATCAGGAGTGCACTTTGGCCGTACCCTTCGACTACACTGTTTATTTCTCGCGCTTGTTTTCGGAATCTGAATCTGAATCTGAGATTTCGATTTCAGATTCAGAGTCAGATTCAGATTCTGAAAACAAGCGCGAGAAATAAACAGTGTAGTCTAAGCAGGTTGCCTGCTTTTTCTCGCGCTTTGTTTTCTGAGTCTGAATCTGAATCTAAATCAGGAGTGCAATCTGGCCGTACCCTTCGACTACACTGTTTATTTCTCGCGCTTGTTTTCGAAATCTGAATCTGAATCTGAATCTGAGTGCACTCTGGCCGCACCCTTATAGACTACACTGTTTATTTCTCGCGCTTGTTTTCGGAATCTGAATCTGAGTGCACTCTGGCCGTACCCTGACAGTGACAGCAGCAAACTGACAGAAAAACAAAACGAACGAACTTTGAAAGTAAATCACAAAAGTATTTTTTTAGGAAATAAATATTAAACCTAATTATTAAGAAAGGAGGACAACTTCAGAGCCTTGAAAAAACCAGCTACAGTTCTGTGGGCCTTATTCCCTTACCTCAGCATCGATAAAGATGTTCCGTGATCGCTTTATTGACCTGAAATCATCGTTTTAATATTCATACAAAATTTTCACAAGCATTGTTTGACCAGCTATGGCTAATTCAAATTATTTGTCAATTACCGATATTTTAGTTTCAAATGAAAAAGTGCCTTGTAAATTTTTACACGATTTGCCGAAAATGGGTAGGTACCTATGTTTAATTTTCAGAACGTTTTCGGATCCTTATTTAGAACAAGCATCTAAGTGTTCACTCTTCATGTATCCGTACCGCTGATCTTACTAAGTTTATGTGATATTCATATGTGTGACGATTGCAAAAGTCCTGTTCCCCTAACTTAGTTCTGGTAAATTATTCACTGTTATTTAGCTGTCAAGTACTTTTATGGTAAAACTGTACTTCCAGAGCCCAAGAGACTCGAACTTTTTTATAGAAAAGGTCTTAAAATTTTTTTTTTCTGGCTTTGGCGTTATGGTCACAACACTAACCTAACCTAGTGTGAAGTATCAACATTTGGGCCCTGGAAGTACAGTTTAGCCACCTTTATTGTAATAAAGATACTGTTTTCCCAAACAAGGAGTCCCAATAGAATTTCTACCAATACAATAATATATATGTTTAGATATTTACATTGTAACTAGTTTAATACCATTTTTTGCTATGGTTGTTATTTTCAGGATTTCTAGATCCGTCAGCAGTAGACGATGATTTAAAAGCTGGAACAAATGTAGAGATTCCCCTGTGGTTAGCTGAATCTCTACATTCGAGGAGATCACCATTAGTTGCTATAGATTTACCCAAAATTTATAAAGATACTTATAGAGAAATCCTGAATGCTGATGCTTGTACTGTAGACATGCATAAATTGAATCAACATTTCTATGAATTAGGATGTTACATTGCCAAACATGATATTAAAGGGGAAGTTGCTAACACCCTGGTAAATGTTAGTAATAACCATTATTTTTATTCAATTTATTCTGTGGATCAATCTTAAAATATAGAATAAAAAAAGAAATTTAGATATGCCTTTTTTGATTTTCTTACAGACATTTAAGCAAAGATTTAAGTTGCTACTTACAGCAAGTGTGTCTACTGATTCCATAGGCAGTATGCAACCTTTATCTGCCAGTGAAAGAAAACATGCAGCTGCAGCAGCCATTACGGAAAATGCTATTTCAACATGGCTTCGGAGAGGAAACTGTCCTCTTCAGACCGCAAATATGGTAGCTAATCACAGAAAACGGAAAAGAGCAGAAATGGAAATGTTTTAATGAAAAGTGTCATTTATCATAATTATATTTAATGTAAATTTATTATGAATTAAGTACCTAACTATGGAATTAAATTGTTAATGTGTATGAACTACTTGATTTTTCTTTCTCAAATAAGAAAAAAAATATTGATGCATACATTTGTCTGGCTTAATAGACAGTTAATATAGCAATTCATGATTTAGCCATACTTTAATGACGTATCTTGCCGCTCAACAAATATTGCCTCAGTTTTAAAGACTAGGAAGATAAGGCTGCGGCTAAACTAGATACTAATTTATGCTAGCATTCCTAATCTAACCAAAAAATTTATTTAGACTACTGTATTCCAAACCACAAGCTATAATTTTTTATCAAATAAGCTAATTAAGGTTTCAACTTGTGTATCAGCCTATTAGTTTCCCCATTACTGCTGCACAGGTCATTTCTATGGAGCGGAGCGCGTAGGGAGAATGAGCTACGCTACGACCCACCACGCGGGCCCAGAGTGGGTTGGTAGACGCTAGCAACTGCAGATGCGACCAGGACCAACAGACCAGCCTTCAGAAGTACGGAGGTGTTTGAGATAGTAAATTTTGTTAACCTATCAATTAAGTGGCCATTGCGCTAGTTGCTTAATTATCATGATCGTAGACTAACGGGTCAACCACCCGAACTATCAAGCTCAACTAACTTTTTCACAAAAAAAACAGAATTGTTCTTTCATTTAAAATTAAAGTTCTAGAACAATTGATGATCTGCTGGACTGGGCTACATGTTGTCGCTATAAACAAACAGGTAAATGGGGAGAACGGATCATTCTTCACATGGAAGATCCTTCTTTGTGGATTCAGTGCCGGGACCACCGTGCTTTTCGTTCATAGCAGATTTTACGATCGAATCGAAGCGCCCGTCTAGGGAAGTAATCTCCACCTCACAGAAGATTACAATGGCCTTACACTTTCTTTTGGTGGTGTCGTGTATCTGTCATAAGGAAGTAAGAATAAAGTTCCAGGGCTCCACTGGGTAGGGGATGGGCTTTTTGATCACCTATAGTGACCGGTTCTTGCCGATAAGGAGACGTGCTTTGGGCGCCTTTAGCCGAGTAGCGTATTTTTCTGGGCGTATTCTCTCGTTTTGCGTATTGATTCTTCCGTGCATTGCCCGTGGTACAGTTGGGATTGTCCGGTTGGCTGGACCCCCAAGTTAATAATTGTGTTGTGGTGTTTTAATGGTTTGTTTTCATTTAACTGTCTATGTATGTTTGTCACGCTTTAAATAGACTAGTGGCGTGCACTCCTTATGACTCCACGACTCCCTCTAGTTGAGCCGACCCCCTCAGGTTGGAGTGGTCTAGAGGCTCCAGACGGAGAGGAGACTCCCCCCGTGGTGAGATGCCATCCGCCTGGAATACCTCTAGAGGCACTCGCAAATCCTCGGCTTGAGGTCCCCTTAGGATCTCGCCGTCCCCAAACCCGGTGACGCTGTAAAGGTCAACCGCGACCAACAGCATACCCACTCAAAAAAAAAATCTTATGACAACGATACAAAAGAAAACTCTAATCACTCCACGGAAAGACACACGGCACTGACCTGGCCCTAACAGCTACCCTTTTTAACCTGGCGAAATGCGTTATGCATACGCCGCCACTGGGTAAGGCGATGACAGTGGGATTCCTCCCCTCTCATCCATCCGGTTCAATGGCTGCTCGGGATGGAGGTCTTACCCATCGAGTAATTTGATGGTCCTACTCATTAAAACTCCGGAATGTGCCCTCACCTTGCCGGTAACGTGGGTGGGATCCTTATTGGGATTTAACCACGTCAATCCTAACACATACCTACCTACATAACAAGTACCTAAGAATTTATCGAAGCAGCCGTGCCCGGTTAGCACCTGCAGTCAGTCTGTAAGTCACCTTTAGTTACCCATTAGTTCTTTGCACCCACTAATTACTAGCTGCGCGTTTTCCTGCCACACATCTTTATATCGTTTGAAGTCTGGTGACTAAGTATTCAAGTGATTTGGAGAAATTTGCATGTAAGTACCAAAATTATTTAGAATTATTTCTTGTTATTATCTCAATGTAAATACCAACTTTATGTACGGCTATGATATTTAGAGTGTTGTTTGGGTAGGTACCTACACGATAATGTCATGCTAATTATAAATCTACTAACTATAATAGTTCACTCACGTACATCAATATCTATTGATCGGTTAGGGTTGTCCCAGATATTTTTTTTACCATTGTGTTAAAAATAATAATAACATTACTGTCTTACTTTAACTTAAGTTCAAAGAGTAAATAGTAGGCATTAGATTGTCATAGTTAGCGAAATTCTTATGTGATATGAGAATAGTTTTGAGCTGACCAGCGGCAAGGTATTTACTTAGGGCTGCCATCAGTCCGGGTTTCCCCGGATTTGTCCTAGTTTACGGGGCGTCCGGGGAGCGTCCGGGCGGGGTTTCATTTGTAGTCCGGGTTTAAAAATTTCCTGTTTTGGGTTGCCAACTAATCCGTCAATTTAAATGTCTTTGAAAATAAATAAATCTTTTCTCTTTCAAAGATCAGGGGGCCCTTCGCTTAACGTAAATGCTTTGGAAAACGCTAACGCTTTCGATTTCATTTTGTTATTTCTGACCGCCCGTAGGTTTTCAAATATCTTAGTCTCATATTCTTTGATATTGTTATTACCAATGCAAAAGAAAAATAAGAGCGCGAGGCATTTGAAAACCTCAGGCGGCTAGAAAATAACAAAATGAAATCGTAAGCGTTAGCGTTTTCCAAAGCATTTACGTTAGGCAAATGGCCCCCAGCTCTGTCGCTCACGCTGTACGCAATAACAGCATTCCTTGCTATGTGGATGACAGCACTGACACTTTTTACACTGGTCGGTCAAACATCCCTCGGATGGAAGAAGAAGGGTATGAAGACAGACTTGTGTCCGAGATTGAGATGTTACTGGATAAAGTTTCAAATTGAAGCCAACAAAACTTGATTGGATTAACCCAGCAAAGACACAAGTTTGTGTGAAAAAGCTTGGTTGCTTAATAGATCTAGTAAGTACCTCAAGCCTAAATATCGGGTGTTACTTTACAAAGCACTGGTCCTCTGGGCTGCAGCACCCCAATACCAGCTCCTTCCTTTTGACCGGATACAAAAGCGGACAGTTTGACTTATCGATGATCCTGAGCTCACTGACGCGTTGCAACCCCTTAGCATGCGCAGACGGTACAACACGCACAAGAACGCAACTGCTTATACGTGTTGTACCGTCTATACAACGGAGAGTGTTCCGAGGAATTATTCAAACGGATGCCAGTGGCCAAGTTTCTCCACAGCATCACACACCGCAGAGAAGTTTAACGCCCACCATCTGGACGCCTAGCGTTCGAGCACCATGTGTTCCTTTCTTTTGCGTACCAGTAAGATCTGGAACGAACTTCCCTCAGTATTTTTTTTAATAGCTATGATATGGTAATCTTAAAGAGGCGGATGAACCTTTTCGTTCAGAGCCGGCAACACATGAGTGGCCCTTGTTGCTGCAAGTGTCCATGGACAGCAGTGACCACTTATTATGAGGTGGACTTCTAGCTGTTTTGCCTATATCAACATAAAAAAAGTTGATTTGTGACATTTTTAACTGTTTTTTATTGGTCTGTCCGGGTTCTGGGCTCCAAAATCCGGGGTCCTATGGCAGCCCTATATTTACTCCACTAATTCATTTCAGCCAGACATGCTACAAAAAAGGTTTAAATTTATATTATCACTTGAGACTTCATAGAGTAATTTGGTTCTCTTAAATTGGAAGTTATACATCCTATTTCACCCTTTTCAAGTTTTGTTTTGGCCTCAAAAGAATGTAACATCATTCTCCAAGATCCTTTTTATAGCATTACAAAAATATATTAAAATCAGTTCACCTTTGAATGCTGACAGAATAATTGACAGTTTCGCATTTATAATATCAGTTTACCTACCGTCGAAATGGGAGCTAGGGCAAACAGAGTAGACGTGAGATTGTCATGTCCATCAGACAAATTATATTAAATATAAATAAAAGCACACCCTGACAACCTTACGAAAATTAGAAGCGACCATCTATAAAAGATCTTGGCACCTTGCTACGGTTCCCAGTACACTGGGAGTGGAATCTGTTAAGTATCGCGTGTGGTGAAAATGGATCCAGCTAGATTTTATCCACAAAATTTATTAGAACAAAGTTTTGGTTTGTGCATTAGCCCTGAAGATTTAATATATCCTTATTACAACAAGCCCAATATCAACTATTATAGACCTTGGAAATGGTATGTACAAAAGCCTACAGATTTTGGATCAGCAGTCCTCAATGAAAAGGATAAATTTAAAATATGTTTGGATGTACAATATTTCACAGCAAACGAAATAAACGTAAAAGTGTCTGGAAATGAAGTTATAATCGAAGGCAGCCATGAAGAGAGGAGAGATAACCATGGCTTCATATCAAGAACATTCAAAAGGAGATATCTCTTACCGAAAGAGTATAGTGCAGAGAGTGTGGTTTCATCTCTGTCTTCTGATGGCGTTCTTATTATCACTGCAAATAAGAATAAGGAACAGAGTTGCAAAGAAGTTATTGTTCCTATAAAAATAAGTTCAACATATACAAATAAGGAATTTAACAGAACTGAAGCCATTACATCAGTTAAACCAAATCAGTCAGCTGTGAAAAACATTCAAGCTCCAGAAACTAAAACAGGCAACACCGAAGCAGATAAAAGAATGACTGCACTAGTGTTAAAAGAAGACCATTGCCGTTTATTGAAGCCTGAACTTTTAGGAGAATCTGCACTTCCAGCCATTGAAAAGTGCCCTCTACAATCAAAACAAGATGTAGCTAATGAGTTTTGTAAAAATACAGAAAACATTACCAAAGTAGTGAATGAAACAAGTCAAAAAGCTACTGTAATGGAACAAAAAACAAAAGAAAAATGTGATATAATTGATAAAAAAGCTGGTAACACTATGTCAGAGATAATTGATTGTACTGCTAGTGGAAATGCATCTGTATCAGAACACTATAATGTAAAAAATATGCTAAGTGAGACAATATCAGTAGCGCAATCATCATCTTCATATACATCTTCAATCTCTTCCAGTATAAAAGAAACTTCTGAAAAAATAAGTGAAATTGTCAGTGACATCAGTGCCCAATTAAAAGAGGCAGCAGAGAATATTTAAAACAATATAATATGCAATCCCACAAATTGTCATTTATTATACTAACTATACATTTATTTTATAAAACATACATTTAGAGAATAATGGCTAAACCTTATAACTACAAGTCCACAATTGATTTGTATATATAAACTGATATTTATACAATTTAATTTTAATAAGTGATTCGGTAGTTTTGAACATAGCACTAGACTTAAATACTGAGATCATTTATGAGCAAATAAATTCTATAAAATGTTCTAGTTTTAGAAATTCATTATTTTACCACATATTAAATAGCTTACAAATACTGGTTTGTTTTAATTGTCTTTTTTTATGTTAATGTCTCTTCATCACAACACTCTTGTATCTCTGCAGTGTTCTTATCACAAAATATAAGTTCAGAGGTACATTTGTAAGGGTGTATTGATTGTTAACATCGATCATTCTTTACTGATGGATTAAGGTCATGGAAGTAAGCATGTGCCATAGCATCATCAGCTGGCATTCGTAGGGCTGGATTGCAAGTGAGGAGGCGGGCTAGCAGATCTCTGCCTCGGGCCGGCAATCGGGGCACAACTTGAGCAAGGCCCAAGCTAGGTTGATACACTGGTAGTGGCTTGTAGTCAGGCAATTGGGTCACTCCTGGCCAGGTGTCTTCATTTGGTGTGCCTGTAACAAATATAAACTTGGTTTTAATGCAATTGCAAGTCATTAATGCATAAACATTGTAAAAATTCATTACATTGTAATGGAAAATTATATAGTTATACTCTATTTCACGATATTTTTTCAGTATTGTTTAAGATTATTTGATTTTTACAAAATATAATAAACTTTAGACTACCTTAACACAAAATAATTACCATTAAAAATGTACCAATTAAACAACAGTATGATTATTTTCTATTTAAATAGCTTACCTAATAAATAAAACTAGTTTTTACAGGTTAATGCACAAAACTTTATTTATTTCTTGACGTTTCGCAGCCTTTTCAGGTCTGCATCGTCAGAATAATGATTTTTTATTTAAAATAATTTAATTTATCAATTTTAAATAAAAAATCATTATTCTGACGATGCAGACCTGAAAAGGCTGCGAAACGTCAATAAATAAATAAAGTTTCGTGCATTAACCTGTAAAAACTAGTTTTATTTAATGAGTGATGTGCGTGAAAACCTAAGAAACAAATAGCTTACCTAATAATTTAAAAATTCTTTTCAATTGATCATCAACATCAGATCCTGGGAATAAAGGCCTGCCAGAGTTTGCCAGCTCAGCAAATATGCAGCCTGCAGACCACATGTCAATGCTTGTTGTATAGAGTTTAGCACCAAACAGAACGTCTGGTGGCCGATACCAAAGTGTCACCACTTCCGCCGAGTAGCATTTCACAGGAATACCGAAAGCTCTAGCCAAACCAAAATCTGCTAATTTCAGTTCTCCGTTTTTATTAATTAGCAAATTCTGCGGCTTTAAATCACGATGAAGAACGTTGTGACTATGGCAGAAGGCGAGTCCCCGAAGTAGTTGGTACATAAAAGACTTTACTACATCCAAATCTATCTCTCCATTGAGACTGTCGAAATATTTCTTCAAGTCCTGGTCGCAATGTTCAAACACCAATGTCAACTTTTTTTCACTATGTAGCACATCGTAGAGTCGAACGATATTCTTATGCTTTAGCTCTTTAAGTAAACAAATCTCGCGTAATGCGGAAGATGGTACACCTTCATCATCGTCGTCTAACCTCACACGCTTTAAGGCAACTATTTCGTGAGTTTCTTTGTTTTTCGCCTTGAAAACAGTTCCGTAGGTACCTTCGCCGATTTTCTCAAGCTTTTCATATTTCTGCATTATTGAATGTTTTTGTTTAATTTATACAGACAAGCCGAAATAAATCGATTGTTTACTGTACTTCTCTTAGGGCTGCGTTCCAAACCTATGGTCCAGGTGCAATGTCAAAATTGTCATATAACTCATAAATTTTATTTCGAAAACGAAACATCAGTGATTAAATATGCACTTAGCGCGTAGGATTGGAACGTAGGCCATGTGTAGAGTAGGCAAGTGATGCAGAGATTACATAAAGCTCTACTTTATAGCAGGAATGTTCAGACTATGCTATTCACCGGTAAACCGATATACACGGAAGTCGGGACGTACTGTACTTAATCATTTAAAAGTGTTCAGAATGCTCGGAAATTAGGTACTTTAAAATGCTTGCTTGTGCTAGGTTACAAAATGTAATGCACTGACAACTTTTTTTCACTATGTAGCTTTTAATGGTCATGGCCTCTGAATGCTATCATTGGCGAGGATACGCTATCTGGCGTAATAAAATGGCAGTAATGAACCCCAAATGTTTTGTAACTTCTGTATAGGTTGGTATGTATGTACTGTTGAAGTTATGATTTTATGTAAAACCTTCTTGTTAGCGCGACTCGATGGCCTGTTCTCTATGTCACCGTTACTTCATTCTAGGACTTTTGCAAATACGTCAACGGTCTATACCTATGAAAAAATGTAATGTGATTGGGACTACATAAACTAAATATTACGAGCTGATTGTCTTTCCTTTCTACGATCCACTTCCTCAACATGGTAGCAAAGGAGCGTGGTTGAATAAAATAAATAGAAAGAGGAAGATAAGTGGAAATTATTTGAAAAGGTCAGTACCGAAACAATTGAAGACATAAGGTACCGAAAATGGAAGTAAAGATAGGAGAAGTGGGCATTCAGATATTTGATGGTACAAATTATGAAAAATGGAAATTTAGATTAAAGTTGTTGTTACAAATGAAAGAATGCCAAGAAGCTGTGGAAAATGATATGAAACATGAAGGTATGACAGACACGGAATGGAGAAAAATTGATTTAAAGGCAAGAAATATTATAGTGAATAGCGTAAATAATACTCAGCTCGATATAATAATGAATGAAAGTACGGCTTACCAAATGATTAAAAAATTGGACGAGATGTATTTAGTAAAAGGCAGTGCTAATAAATTATTAATTAAAAGGAAAGTACTAGAAACAAAATTCAAAGATGGCGACGATATACTAGAATTTATACAAACATTTGAAAAACAAATCAATGAATTGAAAAATGCTGGAGAAGTCGTGTCGGAAGAGGATAGACTGAACTATTTATTGCTTGCATTACCTGAGAGTTTTGCACATATTGCAAATATTGTTGATGCGATGCCGACAAAGGATCGGACAGTGGAGTACGTGAAGTCCAAATTGCTACTTGAAATGAAAAGAAAACAGAACGAACAAGAAGTTCATACGTTCAGTTCTCGATCAAATCAACACCAAGATGGGTCCAGGAATAATGATAACTGCTTTGAATGCAACCGCCTAGGACACTACAGGAGGGATTGTCCTAAGTTAGCACGTCGTGGTCATGGTCGTGGTAGAGGACGCGGATATGGAGGCGGACGACGAGGAACTCACAGAGGATATAGAGGAGGATACAACAATAGAAGCGTGAATACAGGACAAAGTAGCAGCACCAGTGATGGATTTGGATTCAACGTAGAAGTAGAAGCGATGACAGGAGCTACCGAAACGAAAGCGGATATAACATGGTTATTGGACAGCGGATGTAGCGATCACATCGTAAATGACGATAAATTCTTTCGTGATTATAAAATTTTAGAAACACCTGTGAATATTAAGGTAGGTGATGGATTTTGTCTTAAGTCGGAGAAAATAGGAAATGTAACAATGTACTGTAAAGCAGGAGGTAAGTCAAATAAAATTGATGTTTCCAATGTATATTATGTTCCAAATATGAAAAAGAACTTATTAAGCGTTTCATGCATTGTAAATAGAAATAATACAATTCAATTTAGAGGAGAAATAGCAAATATATATAATGTACATATAGGTTTAATGGCCGTCGCACGCAAGAAAAATGAATTGTACGAATTAGATGGCAGAGTTAATTTAGGTGCAGGTACAGTAGCATACACAAGTGGTAACATTATGTCAGAAAAAGAAAAATGGCATAGAATACTTGGGCACCCTAACTTTAAGAAACTAAATGAAATGTGCAGGCATAGGGTTGTAGATGGGTTACCTATCACTTTAGGCGAGGGTTACGTGCAATGTGAAGTTTGTTTGATGAACAAAATGACAAATCTACCTTTTGGAAATCAAAGACGACGGGCAACAGACATGTTAGAGATTATCCACACGGATGTGGCAGGCCCGATTACGCCCACTGGATATAAGGGGCAACGATACTTTGTGTCATTCATAGATGACTATAGTAGGTTAGCTTATCTATGCTTAATTAATAACAAGAGTGATGTTTTTAATTGTTTTAGAGATTATGTAAATATGGTGGAAAATCAAACAGGTAAGAGAGTGAAAGAAATCAGATGTGACAATGGCGGAGAATATATTAACAACGATTTCTACACTTACACAAAGCAAAAAGGTATTTATTTAAAACCAGGGCCAGCTTATACACACGAGTTGAACGGTGTAGCTGAAAGATTTAACCGAACCATAATGGAGAGAGCGAGGTGTCTGCTTACAGAAGCAAAGATAAATAAGAAATATTGGCCTGAATGCGTTATGACTGCAGCATATCTAGGTAATAGAATATTAACAAATACGTATGAGAAAAAAACACCGTACGAAATTTTTATGGGGAGGAAGCCAAATGTAAGTAATTTAAAAATTTTCGGATCACAGTGTTATGTACGAATTCCAGACGAATTACGCACATCAAAACTTAACCCAAAGGCTACAAAAGGTATATTAGTAGGATACACAGATACGGGATACAGAGTATTAATAAATGAAAAAATAGTCATTAGTCGTCACGTTACATTTATAGGTACGAAAGAAGAACAGATAATAAAGATAGTAAATACTGAAGATGAAACTGATGAAAACGAAGAATTTTATGATAGTGTTGATGACTCAAAGGAAAAATCAAGTAGAGCTGTGACTGAGGAGGTGACGGATATCCGACCAAAAAGAGATAGAAAAATGCCAGAGAAATATAAAGATCATGTTGTATATATAAATTTTAGTGATGCACTGGTACCAGATACGTATGATGAAGCAATAAAAAGTCCGGATGTAAATAAATGGAAAGATGCAATGAAAGAGGAATTGAACAGTTTGGAAAAGAACGAAACGTGGATTTTAGTTGAGAGACCTGAAAATAAGAAAATAATAGATGTTAAATGGATCTTTAGGATCAAGTCGAATGGAAAGTATAAGGCAAGAGTAGTCGCACGAGGTTTCCAACAGATGTATGAAGAAAACGAGGAAATTTATTCACCAGTAGCGCGAATGACGACAATGAAAGCTTTATTATCAATTGCATGTGTAAGAGGATGGAACATTGAACAAATGGACGTTGAGACAGCATTCTTGAATGGGAGTATTAAGTCTGAAGTTTATATTTACCCACCTGATGGATATTGTACAGAGAATAATAAAGTGTGCAAACTACAAAAAGCTCTTTATGGATTGCGAGAAAGCCCACGTGATTGGTATGAATGCTTTCACGAATTCATGTCAAGCATTAATTTCAATAGGTCAGACTATGACTATTGTTTGTATACAGGGTGTGTAAATAATGTAAATATATATCTATGTCTGTATGTGGATGATATTTTGATTTGTGGGGAGAAAAATGAGGCAATTGACGAAGTTAAACGGCTATTGAACAATAGATTCCGAATGAAAGATCTGGGAAAGGTGAAACAGTATCTTGGAATAGATGTAGTTTTTGAACCAAAAGAAGGCAGAATGACTTTAAGCCAGGAAAAATACATTGTAAGTTTAGCTGAAAAGTATAACGTAATCGAATCAAAGAACTTTGAGACACCAATGGAAATGAATTTAAGCATTGAACCAAGTCAAGATGTCAGTGCAACGTTAAAGTATAGAAACTTGATTGGAGCTCTTCTGTATGTTGCGAGTGGAACACGTCCAGACGTATCTTATAGCGTAAACTATTTGAGTCGGTTCCAAAATGCTTATGGTGATACGCATTTCAAATATGCCTTGCGAGTTCTCAAATATCTTTACTGTACGAGACATTTAAAGATGAATTTTGACGCCGACTACAAAGAACAATTGGACGCTTATGTAGATGCTGATTGGGCCGCAGATAAATCGGATAGGAAGTCGACGACAGGAATCCTTATAAGAGTTTTTAATAATCCGATCATGTGGAAGTCACATAAACAGAAAATAGTGTCAAGAGCATCAACTCATGCCGAGTATTATGCTTTGGCAGACTGTGTTGAAGAAGTACTTCCGTTAATAGGTGTGTTACGCGATTTAGGCGTTGAGATTAGGGATCCAGTAAAAATTTACGAAGACAACAGCGGGGCTATTGCGTTGTCAAAGAACGGAAAGTTTTGTAAAAATTCTAAGCATATTGACATAAGCTACCACTTCGTATATGACTATGAGAAAAAGGGTATTATTAATATAGTAAAGGTTCATACAGAAAAACAATTAGCGGATATATTGACCAAGGCATTAGGAAAAAATAAATTTATAAAACTTAGAGAACTGGGAAATGTCAAATGAAATGTTAATGACAGATAGTCTTTTGTTAAGTGATTTATTTATTATGTTAAGTTGTTATATTGGTATTAAGTTGTTTTTGTTGTTTTCTATAAAATCAAGGAGGTGTGTTGAAGTTATGATTTTATGTAAAACCTTCTTGTTAGCGCGACTCGATGGCCTGTTCTCTATGTCACCGGTACTTCATTCTAGGACTTTTGCAAATACGTCAACGGTCTATACCTATGAAAAAATGTAATGTGATTGGGACTACATAAACTAAATATTACGAGCTGATTGTCTTTCCTTTCTACGATCCACTTCCTCAACATGTACTAAGTATCGTCTGTCTTGCAAACTAGAAGAAGTACAAAAAGTAAAATGCTATGTTTTCGCGCGGGAATTTTTATTGTTATAAAACACTTAAAGTTGTCTGCAAAATACTGTTTCAACACTGCTGATATGGTCAGAGTAAAATCTTAAAAGCGGAAATGCAAACCCCGTGGTAATAGGGATAATCCCGTCGACGAAGATGCTGCTTCGTGCTTCGTCTATATCTTCTAAAAATCTTCCTAGATTTAACAAAATAGACCAAAAATTTCCTGCAATAAAGTATGTACAAATCTTTTTGAAGTTATACTTCTTTAGGCGCGTTATGAAAAAATGATGAGAGTGAAATTTTAAGATGCGCGCGCATCACTGTAACACAAAATTTTAACAGCATGAAGTTGGTCGCTAAATGCGTTACTTTTGTGTTTACCGCACATTAAGAAAATCTACCAACAAAATAGAAATAGAATCTCTATTTAGTGGGTGCTAACGACTGCATTGTGAAGGCCTATCAAAAGTATTTATTAATCTGGAACAACGGAACCAAAGCGCGATTCAGGAGACTACAGCGCCATCTCTTGACCATTGGTGTAGTAGAACCAAAAACCACATCTTTATTTTTTGTAATAAAGTAACAGTTAGAGGTATTCATATTTATAATATTTATCCACATGTTTCTAGTTTGTATATTCGGAATACGTGTTTGAGTTTCATACAAGTGCAAATCACATATGTTCTAATAAATTATATTCAGTAGCGATTTTAATTGAATATTTTGATTATTTATTTATTTTTTCAAATTAAAACTGAACTTTATTGACTGTGTCCTTTTCCAGACTTTTTATTAATTTATTGTAATTAATTATTTGCATGCAATTAAAAACTAATTTTAAACGATGCCAAAGAAGGATAACTTCTCACGCGCCTACATAAGTACACGCACCCATTTTTTTTTATTAACACATTAAGTCCAGTCCTACTCAGAAAACGCAGGTGGTACAGAGTTCATATTAAACAATTTAAAATAATTAACAAATTCAAGTTCGTTATTATTATTGACTAACCAACTATGGCCAATGCAGCATTACAGAATAAAGATTTTCAAATAGCACAGAATACAAGATAGCATTCCAGCTTCTGCATTTGAGCTAATTGGGGTTATAGAGTCCGACAAGCGAGTCGTGGCACAAGCTCGTGGCGGTAAATTTAAAAATCTCTCATATGTTAACCCTGAATATAGTGAGAAAAAACATGTTGATACTTGAATTTTTCAATATTTTTGAAAAACAAAATAATAATGAAGAGATCTATTACGAATAGCACCATATAAACAAATGATTCAATTGGTCATTTATCTGAGTCATTCACGCCTGATTCACCAGAGCTTGCAGTGTAGACATGTCGGTGATCACTAATGTGGAACAATCCGTACTCTAGCGCCGCCAACCGACAAAAAAATAATCAAAGTTTTTAAGAAATAAAAAACTAAACAAGTGATATATGTTTCTACGAAAACACTATCAAATTTAAAAATATTATTCTTTTTAGTGTCTCGAAAAATAAATTATAATCAAGTGGAATAGCTTTATTTTTAAGCGGCGCTAGCATGCCAGTCGTTCCACCTTATTAATACATTGAAAACGGATATACACAAAATGAATAAAAAAACATGTATTTATTCTGAAACATAATCAAAATCTGACTCTAGAAATTCAATGCCTTCAGATGATTTATCACTTTCACTTTCATCATCACAAACCCTGAAGAGAAATGGTTCAAGTTGCTCTTCTGTTATTCGGTCTTTAACTTTATATTCATTTTCAACATTAATTATCTGTAATCTGTAAATAATAATAAAACAATTTTGTTAATAGTTGTTAGTTAATAGGTTCTGACGCATGCTTACATTCATCTAAACATATTTTCAAAGAAAAAAAGCAGATTAAGTCAGAAACTTAGTATACAAAAAATGACCTTTAGAAATTTTGTCAATTACTCCACTTGTGCTTGGGACCTTGCCAAGATTTTTTTGGTCTATAATTTTGATGTACATATGTTTCATCTAAATAAATTATTGTGTTTCCCTCTTGCCGTTTCTGATCAATAGTTCTGAGGTATTTGTGTCTCTAAGCCGAAATTTCAAAATTTTAAATTAGAAGAGACCGTTCGCTTTTATTGCTCTTGAATTCAAAACAATTTTTTTGACAATATTTGTCTTAATGTTTCACGGGATCCTATGAATCCAATGGATACTCGCAGTTCTTCTAATAGGGTTTTTATTGTTGGAACTTGCTTTTTAACACAATAAAATTCATTTATTTTACTCCGGATTGCGCATATGTCAAAATCATCTAAGTTTGAAACACGGGGTTGACGAGGGCGTTTTTTTCCTGGTGTGTTCCATTTACCCTGAACCTTCCTTTTTTATTCTTCTCATTGTATTTACACTAACATCTGGAATTATAAAAGTATAATTAGGTTAGCTAGCCAAGTCTATGTACAAGTACAAAATATGGCGCAAATAAGTATATTGAAAATTACCTGTTAGATTAGACCAATGCGTTAAATAACTTGATTCAGAGGTAATAAGATCTTTATTCTCAATATCTTTGAGCTCCTTGACTAAATCTTTGATTTTGCGTTTAATGTCTTCGTCATCCGACATACCTTCAAATCAGGAAAAAAATATTTAGTACCTTCTTACCTTTAATGCTATAATATACCTACTGCCCCGAAAGTTATACAGTAATTTAAAAGAAAAGCACCTGTCCTTATTTGAATGTACATATAAGTATCAAAATGTGATGGCTATACTTACTTGCAGATGAAACAATTTTGTCCAAAAGACGTATTTTTTCCTCCACACGTCGGCTTGTATCAGTTTTTCTTTGTTCATACTTGTTTATCATACTATATAACAAACTCCGAACACTGCTTTTAATAGGTTTCGACATTTTTCATACCAAAAAACGTATAAATATCACACCACAGCAAGACGTAAAGGTTATGATAATTTAAAATGACATATATTTTTTCTACCTATGACATTTAACAGTGTTGCAATTCGTAATAATTCTTGTGCCACGACTCACTTGTCAGACTCTAACGAGCGCACCGATCGATTACAGAAATATAAAAATAAATAAATATTTAACCTGCTCAAAAAATATTTATTCATATGTTTATGTGTAGAGTAAAGAACAACAGTGATGTAACTACGTTACAATCAACACAAAGAATCTCAATTACATTTAACATCAACCATATTCCAGAATCAAAACACGTTCCTCGAAAACACTAAGGAAGAAAAGTTTACAGATCGGGCTATATGACTCAGAATACTTTGCCCGTGCCAACAGGGAAAAACAGACAAAAAAATGTAAAATATATGATTCCTCACGCCTTCCCAGAATAGGGAGAACTTAAAACAAAAAAATAAGTAAGGTTCTTGGCGGGATTTCATCGAGTGTGGTTGGCGCTTCGATCACAGAAAGACTAGATACAGCAAGTAGGTTCGAATCGCGTTCCATGAAAACTCCGCTCAATTTAAAAACTCCACTCATCGCCCGCTCAGTCTGTCGTTGGCAGCTACGCGACCGCCCGTCAGTTTCGCAGTGTTTCTCGTCACTAATATTGCAAAAATGCCGACTTGCACGATCAAAACATGTAAAAGTGATACAAGAAAGCACACTAAAACTACTGGAATTACATTTCATGAGTGAGTATGCTTTTAAATACAATTTTTGATAAGAAAAAAACAAAAATTACTCTCTCATACATTTCATCTGGTTGTGTAAAGTGGAGACGGCTTCTTTAAAAAATAAACTATTTTCTTATGTTTGAATGGTAAAGATTTAATACGTAAGATAGGATATTGAGAGGCCTGTTGATTTAGTGGTTAATAAACGGGATTCGAACCCGCGACCTATGGAACAGAACCATGGGTCGCGGGGTCGAAACCCGTAAAGGGAAAATGTTTGTGTGATGAATACGGACATTTGCACCAGAGTCATAGATGTTTATATGACATTATGTATTAATATCCGTTACCTAGCTCTCATAGTACAAACTCTGCTTAGTTTGAGGTGTGAGTGTATCAGATAAAAAAAACGTGTATCTAACAAACTTGTTATGATCATTTTCTTTTAATTTTTAATCTCGTTATTAATTTAATTTTATCTAGATTTCCACAATCGGCAGAGAGGCGAGAAAATTGGATTAATGCCATACTCTTTACAAGGGATCCCAATTGGAGACCTTCAAAACGTGCCTCTATTTGCTCCTTACATTTTCATGAATCGGATTTTTATACCACTAACAAAGGCCTACGGAGATTAAAGAAAACAGCTTTACCTAAATATAAACTAGTGGTAAGTACCTATATCACTTTTACATATTATAAATACAGAGGTGACTCGGTCTCTCTGTGTTCCTTTTCACGCCTAAAGATAACTACCTATAAAGTTTGTTTAACGAAGTTTCAAATGAGTTAATGTTATATGATAGATAAGTTATAATTATATGATACACTAACAAGGTGTTAAATAAATTCAAATAAATGATAGATATGCTAAGTTAAGTTATAAACGTGTATGATCCTGGAAAAAAGCTTAAAACTAGGTGTTAAAAGAAATTCAAATAAATTTTAGATATGTTAAGTTATGAACGTGTATGATCCTGGAAAAGATCTTAAAACTAGGTGTTTTAGGTGACTGATGGCGCAATTACACTTGGTCGTTAGCCCGAATACGATTGCCTATGGAATTCGGACAAACGACTAAGTGTAAATGAACGGAGTCGAGTCGCCCATATCGGACAGTTTTCGTTTTGTTTACCCGACGCCGTCTTGCAGCCCGTGTTCGAGTAAAAACAATGTAATTATTGCATCGGGTGGCCGAATTCCAGTAACGTCTTTCGTGCACCCGAATACGGGCTAACGACCAATTAAGTTGTTTGTGTTAATTATTTCAATATTTTTTTGCAGAATCATTCCAGCCAGCCACAAGATCTACAACATATCGACACATTTGAAATAGACAAACCAAGTACTTCATCTCAAAGATACTGTTCATCCGAGTCTCAAACATTCAAGTCTATTGAAATTCTCAAAGCACCGAGTGACTATTTATTGCGTGAACCGTTACAAGATTTAACTAATTCAACGTCATTTACATCACATAATCTTTTGAATACAACATTCACTGAACTTAAAAATGTAGTTATTAACAAAGAACCAACTAGAACAACTGAAGAGTTTGCTTTTCAACCAAATTGTGAACATCAGGAACCTAACAATACATTTATGCAGAGCTGTTTGCAAGAAAATATTAATTCTCCAATTTCATCTTATTCAGATATAAATTCATATTTAGAATCTCCAAAAACGTATGCCCTTAAAACAAAATTAAGAAAAAAAACTATGCTCGCTGACCTTCGATTGAAAAAATTGAAAAAAGTGCAGAGAATAAATAGAAGATTGATTAAACAGAACTGCTCTTTGAAGAAAATAATAAAAGATCTTAAAGAAAAAAAATATATTACTAGTGACGATGAACAAAAACTTTCTAATAATAATATAATGGCAGCTGAGATATTTAATAGGATGCATTTAAAAAAAAAGAAATGTAAGAGAACAACATTGAAATATCCTGCATTCATAAGAAAATTTGCCCTCACCCTAGACTTTCTTTCACCAGCTGGATACAAGTACGTTAGAAGGGTGTGTGTACTCGTGTTTACCACATCCGTCGACGCTTAATAAGTGGTATCAAAGCATAGATGGGAAACCAGGTTTCTCGGAGGAGGCATTTCGGGCATTACAAGTTAAAGTGGTTGCAACTACTGACAGACAATTAAGATTTTGCTTGATAGTGGATGAAATGGCCATTAGGCAAAAAAAGATTTTCAACGGGAAATTCATGGAAGGATTAGTTTCATTCGGAGAAAATACAGAGGAAATAGCAACTCAAGCATACTGTGTCATTTTAGTGCCAATAAACGATTCTTTTAAATTACCTTTGGGGTATTTTTTAGTAAATGGCTTTTCAGGCGAACAAAGAGCCAATATTATCAAAAGAACGTTAGAAAAATGTCACGAAGTTGGAGCCATAGTAAAAACGCTTACTTTTGATGGATGCGCCTCAAATTTTGCAGCTGCCAACGAATTGGGCTGTAAACTAGATGACACTCATAATTTAAAAACGCACTTTCCACATCCAAGTGACAATAGCACAAACGTTTACTTGATGCTTGATCCATGTCATATGGTCAAGTTGGTTAGAAATACATTGGAGTCAAAAAAGGAATTTATAGATTCAAATGGAAAAATTATACAATGGCAATATCTCGTTGAGTTACAAAAGTTGCAGGATAACTTAGGCATGCATTTTGCAAACAAGGTCACTGAACAACACATAAAATTTCGTAACCAAATCATGAAAGTTAAACTCGCTACCCAACTTTTTAGCAGAAGCGTTGCAAGTACTTTGGATTTGTGTCAAAATGAACTTAAATTATCTACGTTCAATGATGCTTCAGCAACTACTAAAATGGTGCAAATAATGAATGACCTATTCGACGTTTTAAATTCTAGATCAATCAAAAATAACGGTTACAAACAGCCAATTTGTGCAAAAAACAAAGAACAACATTTTAGACTACTGAACGAAGCCGAACAATATTTAAAAGCATTAAAGATAGAAGTGCCAATAACACATGTAAAGACGTATAAAAAAAAGAAAATAAGTACAACTACCATTTATCAAAAACCGATCACTGAAACTAGAAATAAAACAGGATTTATTGGGTTAATTATTTGTATTAACAGTTTAAGAAATTTATATGAAGAACTGATTGAGAAGGCTGAAGTGATACAGTATCTTCCATCATATAAGTACTCACAGGACCACGTAGAATTATTTTTCAGTAATATTCGAAGTCATGGGGGGCACAACAATAACCCTGATGCCCGTCAACTACGCGGTGCTTTCAGAAAACTGCTTAACCACTTCGAACTGAAATCAAATTTCACTGGAAACTGCATCCCTCTGGAAAATTATCCAATTTTAAATTGTTCATCAGCTGTATCGACAATCAATCGTACTGTAACTGGCTATCGATTTGAAGAAGATGAAGAAACAGAGGGTGCGTTTGAGAAGGATACGCAGGAAGGAAAAAATTGTGACATATTTAATGAAATGTTGGATGCTTCAGTGCCACCGGAAAGTATTGAGCAAATAGTGGGGTACATATCAGGTTTTGTATCTAAAAAAATTAACCGAAAAATTAAATGTCGATCATGCTCTGACAGTCTTTTTACGCCAAGTGGGTTATATTTTCATAAGCTGATTGATAAGAAAAACTTTGGTGGACTGATTTATCCGTCTGTCGATGTTTATAAAGTTTGCATCAACAGTGAAATGGTTCTTAGAAAAATATTCAAGGAACGAGTCAAAGCTTCTGACAGAAACTATTACGCTCGTATTTGCTTGCAGTGTTTCAAAAGTTGCATGTATGCATATAAAGAAATTTTCCAGTGCCTTGAAGGGCACTCGTTGGAGCAACCGGCCACTTATAATCATCGGATATTTTTGGTAAGAAGTGTGATTGAAGAGTATGTTAGTCTGCGTCTTTATTATAATTCAAAAAAGGAGTCGTACATCAAAACTAAGAGACAAGTTTTTAATAAACTGACACTTTTTAAAGGTACATGAAATTTTGCCAATACATTTAAAATTATAAATAGAGAATTTTTATATAATAAACCTGCAATTTATGATAATTTCAATTGTTTATGTTTTAACCTTATCCTTACTGAAAAGTTCAACTTACTTAACAACTTACTTACCAACTTATTTCGATGATAGAAGATATACTTTGATCTTCCTGTCTAATTCATTTATTTCATAGAGCAACACGGAAGGGAGTAGCCATAGCGACATAATACTATAATTTTCATTCCCGCACTCAAATTATCTGTATTCTGTATGGTTGCAACCTCTTTTAATATGCAATAAAAAACAGGTTTTACTTTCTATCGACAGCTGTGCCCTAAGCACGAACTTTGACAGATCCGTAAACGTATCGCCACCGTCAAAGTTTCGATGGAAACTAAGCAGCGCCCCTACCGAACGTAAGAACAAACTGGCTCTTTCCATAGAAATTTTGACGATTTCGATAGGGTTACGCATCTGTCAAAAGTTCGTGCTTAGGGCACGGATAGGGAGCGATACTGAATACTTTGAAACCCCAAAACACTACTTTTTAACTTAATAATTTTCAATGCTTTTTTTCACATTCTATCATATAATACTATTATTATTGTAATTTTATTGCATTTTTATTATACATCTGATATTTAATTATACTACAATAATAAAAAAATAATAAAAGCCGCTATGAATATGAATCCATAGTTTTGAGCCTCGCCACGCACACATAACATATCGAATACGCGCGCCCACATTCGCCTATTTTGGAGCACGTAAATGTGTGCGTGAAACGAAAGGTCAAGCAATACGAGATCACTGTGCGCGAAAAAAGGATAGCAGTACATTGCTAGCGATCTCTTGAAGCTGAACGGTAATATATCACGCGATACACACACTACTAATGTCGCGCCGACGCATTTAGTAATAGTTGAAGTATGAAGTACTGTATCTAGTCTTTCTGTGATCGAAGGGTTGGCGTCTTATTTTAATTATTCTTAAATTCGTTCATTGTGGATATTGTGAAATAAAATTGGTGTGGTTTTGTGTAACAACTGTCTGCGTAACTGAAGAATTAGTGGAATCATTAAAATATACGCTATTTCGGTCAAGTGGACGTGAGAATTTTATTGTAGTGTTGACTACCTCACAGAAGCTTATCAAAAAAGCCAACTCGATACATTTCGTGCCAAACACTCCGAGAAACATTAGAATGCGTCACACCGACATTCTAATGTAAAAACAAAAAGAAGATAAATTTAATTAAAGATCAGGCTGTATGGGCATTGTTCCCTTTGACTTCCCTAAAACGGGAGACCTTCAACAAAAAAAAAAGAAAGTAAAATGTCAAATTCAAAGTTGACTATGGTCAATCAAATTACGTCAAAATCAATCAAATGCAAAAAGTTGAATTATCACTCACGGTGAAAGAAAATCTTAATTTTATTTAAAATTTTCGTGTAAAAGTTGATTTGAACATAAAGGCTTTCAAGGTAAGCTTTATATAATCTTATAATGTATTTGTTCTGACTGGTGTTTTTAATGTTTATAAATAAGAAAACAATAAGATTCTTTATTACGTATTATTTTCATGCGTATGATATATTCATTATCGAATCACGACATATTTTTTACAGATGAGTGAGGAAGAACGGACTTTGATTGATAAGTCGGAAAGTAGTTCTTTTGAAGATTTAGCTTCGGCGGCAGCCCATGAAATTGAGGAAGCAAAAATTGCGGAAGCGGCCGCCGCTGAGAAGGCAGTAGCTGCGGAGCAGGTGTCTGACACCGTCAAAGACGAATGGCAGGATGTCTTAGCTTCAGGCGCGTTGCTAAAAAAGGTTATTTCAATACGTGTATTAGAATAACTTGCCATACAGTGCAAGGCAATAGTATAGTATTTATTAAGAGGCAAGACTCCTTTCGACGATATTAACGACGATTACAGATGCAGCTGCGTCCATCGGCTTTAATGTGAATCTTGACCTGACAAGGAGCTTGAGTTACTAAATTTTTGGTCATCTAGCCACAGTGGTTATTGTTAGAGTTAGTCAACTTATATTTAAATATCTCTAATTTATTTTAATATGTACACAGGAAATATTCAAACATGTGATGTGCAATGCACAGTGGTTAGTGCCAACTTGTCTTTAATTGTGAAAGGTGCTGAACTTAATCAAACACTAGAGACACATCTATCGGTCCTCCCAGCATTTTAAGTTTTGACAGTCCCTAGCTAAAGATAAATGTTACATCAATAAAATTTTTTGAAGCTGTTTTAATAACCAACTGACAACATATGTTTTTTTAAATACATTATTATTGCTTAACCTAACATATAGTTTTGCTACAGACCTTTATAACTTACAACAGTAAGTCGGCCAATAGATGGATATGGCCACAGTGCATGCAGGTTCAGAATCAGATTCAGACTCAGAAAACTAAGCACAAGAAATAAACAGTGTAGCTTAAGCAGGGTGGCCATAGTGGCAGCAGGCAACTTGCATAAACTACACTTGTACACCACTTTGGTGTATATGCGATTTTGCTTTTCCACTGTTGATATGTATTATTACTTTAAAGGAGATTCATATGGTTTATCCCTCAGATATTAAAGCCAGGCGATGAAGCATCAGGTGCTAGACCACAAAGAAGTGATATCTGTAGAATCAGCTATGAACTCAAAATACGTGACAGTGGAGAGATAGTAGAAAAAAGGGATCAAGTAAAAATATATTTGGGAGACAATGAAGTAAGTTCCTCTCTCTCCTTTATAATCTTTTGTAATATTATATTTTCATAATTATAGGTTCCATTTATTTGGAAGCATATGTGCAATAGCATTTAATCAATACTTTAAAATAAAAAATACAGTCCATTGAGTTGCTAACCTTTTAGAGGTCATGTTATTCTCTATGTAAACATTAGAAATACAATGCAACATAAAGCATTGATTTTGTTATACATCAAAGAAGGTGTATATACTTAGAATTAGAATGAATGTCTTGTTATTCTATTTCTAATTTATGTGCAGTTTTTTTTATTGAAAATTAAAAGTCTTCCATAGACTAAATGTTGCATAATATTTTATATGAATGCATTTTGTCATTTAAGAATGACCTTTTTTATATCTTTGATTTAAAGTCTATTTCGTAAATTACTTGCTTTTACCATAACAAAAATTGAGTTATTGTCAAAATGTATTTTTTTAGCTATATTAACTTTTAATGTAAGTTAATGTTTTGTTTTCACATAGGTCTTACAAGGTTTGGACTTAGTATTGACTCTAATGCATGAAGGTGAAGAATGTCTTCTGCAACTAGCACCTCGCTTTGCTTATGGTGAAGCAGGTCTCAAACCCGGTGAGAGCCTTGGTTTGGTTGGTGAAATAGATGGACCAAAGTATGAGGGACCTGCAATTGGCCCTGAGACTTGGCTTGAAGCTAGATTGGAGCTCCATGATTGGAATGAAGAACCAGAGCATGAAACTCTTCCCATTGCTGAAAGAATGGAAATTGGGTAAGGTTATAATAACTCATGTAATTCAAATGTATGAAATCAAGGTTACAGTGTTTACATTTGTCAGATACTTTTGAAATGACCATGACATACTATTATGTGTTCATTGATAAACATTTAGATTGCGAAATCTTCATTCACAGATAAGGAATTGAGAGGGTGTATGCTGCTGTAATAATGTAATTATTAAATAATATAATGAAAATACACATAATATTTTTCAAAATTACACTTTGGAAGTCTTCTGCAAATGAAATTACTGATGGATTTCTTAATTTGCTCAAGTTTTGAGTTTCATGTCCTTTGTCTTTTTTGCGGTGACTCTTGGGACAGATAAATTAAATTCCACTCTCATATCTAAAGGAGAATGCTCATGGATGTTTGGACCGCCGTACAATGGTTGCATCAATACCAAACAAATGTTAAATGATCGTTTAATATTCAAATTAGTATGACAAATTGGAATTTTGAAAATAAAAACAGGGGTTTTAATGTTATTGTAAAAAATGTGACATAACCTCAAATCCTTAATAACTCCTATTTGAAGTTGGTTTACAGCTATTTTGGGTACTTTTTTATTCTGTTATTTTTGATCAACTTGAGTCTTTCACTGTTCTTCCAACCTACTGCATAGATTTTCATGACAACACAGATTTCAGTAATGGCAGATTTACGTATAGGTAAATAAAAACATTAATATAGGACACTTTTTATTAGATTACATATATTAATTGTACACATTATATTTGAATTACCGGTATATTTCAAATCAACATAATCTTCATAGAAAAAATAATCTAAATAAGGCGCCAGAGCAGTAACATCATTGTAACGACCCCAACTTAAAAACTGTACTACAGTCATTATGTGGTCATAACAGCCCACAGGTTGTTTACCAACGAGACAGCTGCACTAATAACCTTTTATAGCCTAATATATATCTAATGTGTCTGCCAAAGCAGCATCTCTACTGATAAGTAAATATGAGTTATATGTATGCTGCTTAAGTGTCAGGATTTAATCCTACCTCTTAATAAATAACTATTTAGACCTAAAACAAGAGGAATATCATCTACAAACAAAGAAATTCAAACAATTTGTAGCTTTTGTCTTACAACGTTCTAATGTAGCTGCTGGATTATTGAAAAGAGTGGCCAATCTTTTGTTGTTATCAGCAGTTCTTAATTAACTAAATAAATACAAAAGGCTATAGAAGCATTTGGCACTTGATCTGCTAGATTGGTATACAGTTGAGCAAATTATAAAACTGTTCAGAGTTCATACCAAGTCAATAATGACATAAATGAGGAGACAATTGAAACATTAGAAAAATCTAATTAGTAATTGGCTGATCGCTGTATCATAATCATTATATTATCAAACTGTGTGCCAGTAAAATCTCTTAATTATGTTAATTCATTCCATGGACCACAATTCAAATAGTGATGACAAACACATGCACCAGCTGGTATGCACAATTTATTATTATACAATAAAAGATCCCTGATGGTAGATGAAATAAGTAGACATTCAGGCTCTAAACAATTTGCAAATACACAGGAGAGTTAGCAGCATGTATGATGATGATGATACAATTTTTAGAGTCACTTGTTGAACTGCTTCTAGTCTTGGTTGTGGCAGAGGAGGTGGCACAGGTATAGAATGATTGCCACTTAATGTAGTATCACCAAGAGTAAGGCTATTTCAGTCATGTTGTTGTTGCCTTTGTACTTGTTGAATCTCCAACATGCAGCACATACATGTTCCATTCTTGAGATCTAAAAAGATATCATTAATAAAAAAATAATAATTAATATGGAAAATTCCTTTCTCTTTATTTTAAGGAATTTCTGTATTCTCTCATCATCTATTACCTGTCTAGTGATAAAAAAAACAAATAAAATAAAATCTAAATGTTACCATGACTATTACAAACATCTTAGTTCTGGATTTGTAATTAAGTATGATATGCAGTAATAATACACAGTAATAATAGTTTTCTCATAAGATTGTGATAGTAAATGATTCCTAACCTAAGTATCTAGAATTGTTATTACTTTTTTAAGAAGTCAAACAAAACAGTTAATATATATTTCATACAGTTAGTTGCACATGACATTAGCCAAACAATATTAGCTCACCTGAGTAGGATTTATCCATGACTGTAATATGTTGAGGGCTAAACTGTTCTTCTACAAAAAAAAATTAAGTATTACCTCTTGGGCCCTGGAAATACAGTTTTACAATACACTGGTTTAGCCAGTCAAATAGTCTAATCGTCATCGATTCCTCATTTGAAGTATAATGCGTGAGTAGAGAACACTACAAACACACATACGGTAAATAAACGTCCTGTCGTGAATACACTGTTTTTTTCCTGAAAACGTCTTGCCTGTCTTAACAACTCAGAAAAAAAAACGTTTGGTACGTTCACACGCAATCATTATCACTTCACAATTTATGTAAAAAACTCAATCAACACAAAAATAGGAGTAACAACAATTGACAATTCTCCAATCATTTGCAATAGGGTAGGGTGATGATGATCTGAAATTCAATATACGAATAATCGATGGAATTAAAAAAAAATGATTTAGTATATAATCGATTTTACGCAATGAATAGATCAAGTCAGATACAAATAAATCCAGATTCAATTAATTAATAAACAGCATAGAAATAAATATAATTACTAGTTACTACTTAGTTAATGATGAAATCGACAGTTAGGTGAGCGCCTTCTATAAAAACAACTACATACAGCAAGAGACGTGATAGGAAAGTGTCGAGTTAAGCCAAGCGACGGGTTACTGACTATGATATATTAAGCATAGAGACGAAATAGATAAATGACGAGTTGTCATCGCAACAGTTAAGACATTTATTGTCTTAAAACGTAAAATCACTATTAAACAATAATTAGTAACACGTGATTTATTTGCTTTTTGATGGCCCACTCATCGATAACAAAAACAACAATCGATTATAATGTATAACTAATAGGGTACTATGGCATCACTATTTTTACGATAAATAAACAAACGTCAGATATCCGGCTCAAAATATAAACAGTACTATGACTAATATTATTTTAAAAAATATTCCCTGTTTTAAATAGCAATTCTGATAGACCATCGTACGTATAAATAAAAGAAAATAATTATCATAATAATTTTATCTTGAGGCATGAGACAAAGCTGTACCAAATATGGGCATTCTCCTTTCAATGTTGTCATGTGGCATTGTTTTTAGTTTTTTTCGTGCTAGAAAAGCATTTGTTACAGGTTGTCAGCACAATTATCATCATAGAAGCATTTCCTGAAGTATTCTAACCATTGTTTAAAATAAAAACTATTTTCCAAATATCGAAAAATATTTTTTGACTGTTTTTTTCTTTTAATCATAAAAACAAACTTTACGTCAGACATCTGCCTATTTTTGAGCCCACTACTGGGGCACAGACCTTCCCTATGGATGGAATAGGGTGATTGGACCTTAACTCATCACACAGGCCCAGTGACGAATTGGTGGGTGCTAACGACTACAGATGCAGCCTGGACCAACAGCTTGACGTGCCTATCGAAGCACGAGATAGTAAATTTTTGGTCACCCATCCAATGACCAGCCACTGCGAAATTTGCTTAAGTTCAACGATCGCAACTGTGCGCGCAAACCATTTGAGCCGTGGAGCTCCTCTTTACATACACACACATAAATGAATGAAAATATTATGTGAACTTGTGTTTTTGACAACCTCCGTGGCAGAGTGGTTTGTACGTCGGGTTTTATGGTGTCGCTGACTCGAGAGGGTCCGGTTCAAAAACCAGTGGGGGCAGATGTTTGTGTGATGAATACGATCATTTGTTCTCCAGTCATGGATGTTTTATATGTATTTCTATAGAAATATACTTAGATATGTACAGTATATGTATTCTATCCTCACACAGGCCTTATAGTGCTTACTTTGGGGCTAAGCTAATTGGTGTGGGTGTTGGAAATATTTATTTATTTATGTGAAGTATTCGTCGACGCGCTCGTGGCAACTGGTGGTATGGCCGTGGGGAAGCTCAGCTCGCAGTGCAGCTGTACAGACGCGCGCTAGACGTGTTGGACGAAAGTGAGGGCGGCATCACAGACCCTACACCTGCTGGAGAATTGGTGCCAACCTCTGAGGCTTTGACAGCGCTGCTTGAAGAGAGACTGCGCGTACACAATAATATGGCAGCCGCGCAGTTGAAAGCTGGCGCTTACGATGCCGCTTTGCAGGTACGTGTTTTTGTTTCGTGTAAGCTTACAGGTAAGTTTTTTATAGCGTACTATTTTCAGTGGCAGTCAGGGAGCCTGGGGGTTTGGCCAAACATATGTTGGGGATCACTGACTCGTCTTAAAGTGGCCGTTCGCTTGATTAGAATCTGTCTAGAGTAAGTAATCTGTGAGTTTTGACCTTTTTTTGTCTAGTGGAGTTAGGTTAGCCACCCGCTGAACTTAGTGTCAAACTGAAACTTTGTAAGGGCTTCTTGAAGAGCGTCTGTGCGTACACAAAAATGTGACCGCTGCGCAGTTGAAAGTTGGCGCTTACGACGCCGCTTTGCAGGTAGGTTTTTTTTCTCTTATAGTGTACGATTTTCAGTGGCAATAAGAATTGAGGGGGCTTAACCAAACGTTTGTTGGGAACCGCTGACTTGCGTAAAAAAGAGCCGGGGCGCCTGATAAGAAACCGTCTTGAGTGAGTTACGTTTTTGGCTAGTGATGTCAGGTGAGATGCCCGCTTAGGAGATGGTGCCAACTTCTTACGCTTTGAAGGCGCTGCTGAAAAGAGAGACTGCGCGTATAGAACAACATAACTACCGCGTAGATGCAAGTCTGCGCATACGTCGCTTTGCAGGTGAAATAAGGCAGATTATGAGTAAGACAAGACAACTGGCTCTCAGAACATTCTCATTTATTCGGAGTCCGAAAGATTTTTTTTTTTTTTTTTTAAATTTAACGCACGTCTGTGAGCTCGTCTTTCGTACATTTATATTAAACAAGCGACTAACCGCGACTTCGTCCGCTTTAACTTTAGTTTTTTGAGAATTTCACAGAAAGCTTTAATTTTTTGGGGCTAAAAAGTATGCTGTCTCAATCCAGGTCACAAAGTATATGCGTACCATATTTTATCCAAACTAGTTCAGTAGTTTTTGCGTGATTGAGTAACAAACGTAAAAACTTTCACATTTATAATATTAGTAGGATTGATGTATAGCAGATCTTTTTTATGTTTAGCATGCAATAGAACAATGTTGATTTTTGGTATGAACAATGTGGTACATAAAAATCGCAATATTTGTGTTTATATAAGAATACTTCCTCCTTACACTCTTATCAAACCTTTATTCCCGGTCGCCCCCACGGGAATTGTCACCAGAGGCAAATGGGAATAAATAAACTGATTTATTGGGAATAAGGGCAATCACTTTATTCCCATTTGCCTCCAGTGGCATCCCCGCGGTGGCGACTGGGAGTAAAGGTTTCCAGAGACACAAAGTCATACAAATATATCAAAAGTAAATACAGTGGATTTCACTATTACGACCTTGGTTGTAGCGGCTATTTACCTATTGCGACGATAAATCTAAGCCCCTTAAATTTAAAGCATACTTTAGTATAAAATTCATGTGGCTATAGCGGCTTTGGATGTGACGCCGAGTTCGGGTGTAGCGACTGTTTTAACGAATGTGAATCATTTGTAACAAATTCCAAGAAATTCTCTTGAACTTTGCCCATAACGACTTCCGGATATAACGACGAAAATAGAGTGGTCCCTTCATCGTCGTTTTACCCGAAATCCACTGTATAATTGCAGTTATTTTGTTTTCCTAATCCGCTAGGCGGTGACGCGCGTCCTCCAATGCCAGCCCAATAACGCGAAAGCTTTGTACCGCAAGTCGCGCATACTGTCGGCGATGGGCCGCAACATGGAAGCTTTGGCAGCAGCCAAGGCAGCGGCCGCGGCTGCCCCACAAGACTCGGGCACTAAGAAGGTTCTACAGAAGTGCGAAGAGAAAGCTAACAGAGATCGTTCCGTGGAAAGGCGCTTAGCCAAACGTATGTTGGGTACCTCGGACTCGCCTAAAAGTGGCGGGGCGCCCGATAAGAAACCGTCTAGAACTAAAGTAAGTATTAATATTTTTTAGGGTTCCGTATTCAGAAGAAACAAATGAGTGTGCAAGAACCACAGATGTGAAGTGAAACTTCTTTTATTGAATAACCTAACATTAGGCGGTGCATAAGGCATAGAGGAATGGTGCAGCGCACGCATCACTCATATAATCAGTCGCGTGTGACGCTCGTAGCGTTTCAGACTTCGCCGAGTTACCCTTCAACTATCATGCTTGTCGGGAAGAGCTGCGCACGCATCCCACACACACACACAAATATATAGTCTTGTGACGCTGGTGACGCATTTCCGTTTCATGTTTTCCATAGGATTTTCCCATTTACACCCCGTCCAAAAGAAGTTTTACTTCAAAAAAATAAACACTTACATAAGGATCACTTTGTTGTCCGGTTGTCTGTCAAGTCCCTTTATCTCGGGGACGCATGAAGGTGTTGAGTTGAGATTTTAGCGATATACTCAGGGCTATGGTCCCTTGAAGCTGTGAAAAAATCAAGCTTCTAAGTTAACGTGAAAAAGAGATACATGATGCTGTTTATGTTGCGTGTCTATAAATTTGTACGGAACCCACGGTGGGCGAGTCCGACTCGCACTTGTCCGGGTTTTTTTCTTCGCTTAGCACAGAAGATTTGTCGCTTGAATATAAGTGTAGGACTGGAAAAATAAATATAAGAAAGAAAGTATATTATTAGCCTTAAAAAAAATACATTATACAAAACAAATACAATAACAGAAAAAAAGGCCAACTACGTCCCTGCCTCAACATAGTGCCACAGCGACGCCAGGGCCGCTGCGGCGTTGATATTCTGGCAGGGCCTAAGGTAGTATATCAACATCACCAAGATCACAATGCAAGAAACATACCCTTTGCTGGCAATATGATGCTGTATAATGTTTCTAGGGCTTTATGAGGTCGGGTTTCCCAGTACTGGTAGTCTGGTATCCATACAATATAGTATAAAGATGAAATAAAATACATTTGCATTGTTGCGGTACTTGCTTCGCTATATAATGCGATTCAACTAAGAATAGGACCGACTGGGCGCCATATTTGACGTCATAGCTGTCAAACGAAATAGGTAGAGAGAGCAAAAAAAGTGGTTATTGAATAAAACTTATTCAGTAATAATAAGTGAGAAAAAAACAGTTATTTTTAATAAAATTTATTTACTTATATTGAGGAACAGAAACAACCGGTTTTTAATAATAATAATTTATTAAGACTGTGTGAGACAAATCATTAATCAGAATCGAGCTCTTTAATTCCGCTCATTTCAGCATTACCTCTGGATTAGTTATGAATAATCATGCACTATTACTGAGTCACATACGAACATGCATCCTTTATGTAAACGATAGTTTTACATCGAGTTTCTGACCGCAACATAAAGTGACATTTGGTTGACGATTTCTACCATTCATAGCCAAAAGTTAATAAATTAAAAAAATATATCAACCAATATTAATTATCAATATTTGTGATTGTTTGTTTACAAATGTTTGGTTTTTATTCTAGAATTAGCCGAGTGCTAAAAAAGGGTTCCAAGTTTTTTTTGCAAACCGTACTTTTCAAGCGACTTTTGACAGATGGATGGTCTGGATGGCCATTGGCTTTCCTATTCTTATTTAAATCGAACTATACGTGTGTCTGTTTCGTCTGGCAAAAATCATTATCCTATTAATGTTACCACTGCCGGAGCAAACGCTTTCCCAATCCTACCACATGTTCCCAGTAGGATTGGTGGGTGCTAACGACTGCCAATGGCAACTTAACGTGCCTTCCGAAGTACAGAGGAGCTGGAGATCATCAAAATTTTTGGTCACCAATCACTCGTAGACTGAACCACTTGCGCCATTGAGCTAGCATAGCATGCAGTGATACCAGGTCCGAATTAAAAGGTGTGAGGATCTGGGGCAACGAAGAAGTGTGGCTCCTATTTTGAAATCTGGCACCCCTGGCCACTCAGGATTTACAACCCCCCATGTTTGGTGCCCCGTCGAAATTTTAGTTATTTTTTGTCTTTGTTATGCAAGTCCTTCTCTTCTGGGGGCCCCTGGGCCACAATCCCGCCCAATTGACACTTCTCTCTAGTTGTAGTCAGACCCCTCTTTCCCACTGGGCACTTTGAGCAAATGCCTAGGGCCCTGCGATCGATAGGGGGCCCCCTATCTCCTCCTCAGCCGCCCCTCAGATCAAATACAAAGTCCCTAGTTCCTGTCAGATCTCCAAACGATAACCAATATTTATTACCAAAAAACTTATATAATTCGCTAAACTCGAACCTAATTTATTTACTAGAATACCAACTTACTAGCTTTTACATAAGCGGAACTATTCTACTCTCGCCCAAAAATTAGGCCTTCCGACTTCAGCATGCTTAGATAAATTTGAATATACATATAATGGTATACTAAGCACATACACATTTTAAAGAAAAATTATCAGTAGTACACTCATCAGTATGACTCGCTCCATTTCAAGTCATAATCCATATCAAAGTCATAGTCCCCATTCTCCCAGGGCCATTATCTAATATACCCAGGGCCTCCAATAGTCAGTTCTTTTTATTCAATTGATTCAGATGCTGGTGTGGGGCTCGTTGTTGCTGAGCTTGTTGGTGGGAGTAGCCAGCGTGCTCGTTTACCGGTACAAGATACAAGCACACTGACCACTGCGTTCCACTCTTAGACAATGTAAGTTCCTCATTTATACATTTTACATGAATTTGTTTTCGGTAATATCTTACATGGATACACTTGTATTTATACTATGTGATGTTTATGGTAATAACTTACTTAGTTAGACAGATCATCATCGTCATCATCATCAGCCTATTATTGCCTCCACTATAAATAAAAAAAAATATCAACCCTCACACCAATTAGCCTAGCCCCAAAGTAAGCACTGCAAGGCTTGTGTTTTTGGATACTAGGGTAACGGATAGAATACATATACAGTACATTATATAAGTATATTTATATAGAAATGCATATTTAACATCCATGACTGGAGTACAAATGCTCGTTTTCATCACACAAACATCTGCCCCCACCGGGATTCGAACCCGGGACCTCTCGAGACGGTGACACCATGAAACCCGGCGTACAAACCAATCGGCCACGGAGGTCGTCAAAAAAATCTTACATAGATACACTTGATTTTATACATGTGATGTTTTTGGTAATTAATTAACATAGTTAGATAGATAGATCATCATCATCATCGGCCTAGTAATGCCCCCACTGGTATGACACAGGCCTTCTCTATGGATGGAATAGGGTGATTGGGCCATGACCCACAACGCGGCCCCAGTGTTGATATGTGGGTGCTAACGATGCAGCCAGGACCAACGGCTTAACGTGCCTTCCGAACTACGGAGGAGCTCGAGATAGTAAATTTATGGTCATCCATCAAAGACCGACCATTGCGAAAGTTGCTTAACTTCAACGATTGCAGCCGAACGTGCTAACAACTTGTGCCATCAAGTTTACCGAAACAGATTGATAGATAACAAAGATGCACTTGAACAGTCATTCTCAAATTGGTTGATACCACCCTCTTGTAGGTGATAGCACTCTATAAGGAAGCTCGAATTCCCAGGGAAAATTAGGGAATGTTGAAGTGACTGCATTGTGTTTATTAAGGTTTAAAATTTCAACGAACTCTACCTACTTTAAATACTCCATAGTTTGTTTTGTTAATTTAATCGAGGTAATAAGTTTGAGAACACTGAAGAGCTATTCAATTGAGTCGGTTGCAATTTTTGTATTCTATCCAACGAATCAGAAATGGTATGGAACTATCACTTTAACAAAGGCCGCTAAAACATGGTTCCAAACTCATATAACCTAGTTTCAATATTACTACACGCACACTGATAAAACAAAATACTTTGATAATTCAGATATCTGCAAATAAATTCGGCTATCCATTCATTGGGTAAGATAATGTTATACAGATATCCTAACCAATCCCATAATCGGCGTGTTGATTGCATTTTTTGCCCCGCCTACTTGGTCGCAGTTTGCGTGGATCCACTAAGCGCAATTCGTATTTCATATTATTTCTAATTCGTTGATTCTATCTCATTATAATGATGTCTATTGAATCTAGTAATTTAGATTTTATATTTTGTTATTATATTTCATTTTTTTTTATTCCCAGGTTAAAGAGATCCCAATGGTGTGATTGGAAGGTAGAGGTGCACATTATCTTATTACGCTACGATGTGTCTAAAAATCGGGAAAACACATAATATCAACTCTTGAGAAGATTAATTTTTTATCAAAAGCCTACAAATAACATTATATATTTACAATACTGTTTGCAATCTGCAACACATATTTTTGTACTATTTTTACAGCTGGTTTCTAGCTTTATTCCGTTTTTATGTAAATCATAATAAAATATAGTAGTAGTTATGCACCAAACGAGTTAAGAGACACTATTGTCGTTTGTTTCCTAGTCTATACATGGCAAGAGATAAGGTTATAGGTAGCGGCAAACTTCTTGAGCAAAACCACAGATAATTAAACTTGCGCAGTAGACGTTTTTGTATGAAAAATTGCTACTGCGCAGGTTTCCTTGCCCAAGAAGTTTGCTGGGGTGTATACTAGTTTAGTTGCCAAGATGCTTATTTTATAGAAAATTTTAGTTACTTGGTAACTTAACTATGTTAGTCCTATCTTTTTCTATGGATAGTATGTCAGAATAGGACATTGAATGTATTTTTCTTCGGAAAGTCAGTAGTAGAGAATAGATGGCTGCTACGTCGCTATGTAAATGCGATACATTTTGTCGAAATCGGGTATAAGCACTATATTAAATAGCCACTTAACCCGCTTTTATCAAACGATGTTTTTAAAGTTTCATTATGTTAGATAGTCTTAAAATATAGTATTTTCGTCACTCTTAGACAATATACGTATTCAGTTTTGTTGTAAAAAGGTGATAGGTTAGGTTAATCTAGTAAACATAGGTATAAAATTGTGATTTAATCATGCCCTTGTACTTTGTTACTGATTTCCTATTATGTGCATTTAAAGTAACTTTTTGCGTCTGAGTACTTATGCATTTTATCATTAGTGTTTCTGCTATTCGTAATACAGTGAAAAGTTCAATTATCTTGTGCTTATTGCTAGAGTTTAAATTCTTTTGCCCTGCTTAAACAGATTTTATATATTTTCCTTTTCATTTAAACATTTGGACATGTTGAAACAAGCACTTGTAGAACGTTAGTTTGCAGACGGGAAGTTGTTAAGGAACTTCGTTTTGTTTCATTTCTTGTATTTATAAAATAACTTTCATAAAGAAAATTAAAACGTTCGCGTTTTACTTAGAACACATACGAAATCACTTGCTTTAGAATACAAAAAAGTTTTTTTTACATTGGGGCCGTTCAAGTATTACGTAAGCACTATAGGGGGGGGGGGGGGGGGGGGGCAGGGGGGTCTTTGCGTTGCTTATTTTTGATGACATGGGGGGTGGGGGGTCGAGATAGTGATTACGTCAGCATCATGGATTCGGATGTCATGGACTGAAGATTGTATACATATACCAAAAATTCGAACGAAATCGGTTTTGTTCGTAATAGGACCTTACTCAATGTTGAATACTGTGTCAATAAAGTTTGTTTCAATGAATAATATGAGCGTTAAAGTCCTCTATCCTAAGCCTATTTAAGTACTGCTGCTCATGAAAGCTCAGGAATGAATAAAAAAAATGAATACATTAAAGGAAAAATGCATAGGTACCAATGTTTACGTAAGCACGTGAGGGGGGGAGTAAGAGCTTTGCTTACTTTTGCTGACAAGGGGGAGGAGGGGGTAAATAATTGTAATAAATCTGCTTACGTAATACTTGAACGGCCCCATTACAGTAAAATAGTTTACCGACAATAACTTAAGTAAAGCTTCTATGGCTGTCGGTGGATCTCGGTTGTGTTTAAAATGCCAACGGGATTACGACATAGCATCGATAGTATCGGATCTCTGAATGTGCAGACAGACAGCCACATGTTAAGTTATCCAAAACTGTGAAAGTAAATGACTTTGAGCTTTATAGTGTTTAAAAGTAAGAAGGACAATAGTTTGAAAAAGAAAAAGACATTTTGTGGTAACTTGGTGTATTGCGGAATGTCCTTATATTTAATAACTTGTTTGACGTAAAATATATTTGACCGTCGGCGATTTCACGTAAATTTAATTTTAGCTGAAACTTTATTTCGTTTTTATCTTTTGGCGTCCTTTTAACCTGGCTTTTAGACCGACCCTTCCGTTCTACATGGCCAGGAAGGAAGTCTTTTAGCGCCCCCTTAACGCTTTTACTTCATTTATATTAACACGAGATAATTTATGGATGGCTCCTAATTTCTGGTGGAATATGAGAAAGTTTCGTCACAGAGCAAAGTGCGAATGGCAGTTAGCGACTTTAAAGAGCTTTTGCTTGTGATTCTATGCTTTTAACATAAGCAATACTATGTTGCCTTAGGTTCTATAACAATGTATTATAGGATAATGGGTGTCTTTATTTCGACGATAAGGAAGTCTGGTGCAGTTGAATTACTTTTATGTGGATACAATCTTTGTCAGTTACAGGGCTTAAGAGTTATATTTATTAAATTCCATTATTATACAATACTATAAATAATGTATCAAATTATCACTGTATTATGTATGAAAAAACAAAGTAACTTACTGTAGTTAGTGCCAAAATCTAAATTGAAAAAAGTATCTTCAAATTCTAATAATTGTCAATCTCAAAACTAATTTTATTGAGCGAAAATATATTTTTTGATACTTTATTAGATTAAGCACATATTAAATAGCAGTTTGCAGGAACGCATTCCATTATATACTTGATATTGTTTCGAAAACATAATTGGTTGCAATGAAAAGTATTTTTATTTGAATTATTTTAAAATTTGGGTGCTCATAAAATTTTTGTTACATAAAATCGAACCGAAGGTAGGGGCAACAGTATTTATTCTGCTACCCAGGTATCTTATAGTGTATATTTTAATATATTTTTGTATCAAATTGCAAGTTCTATTTTTTTTTACTTGCAATCAAACAAAAAATTTACTTTGTTACTTTGAAAATATTATTGTGTTTAGAAGACGTTTCTGGAAAAAAACTTCTAAAATGTCTTCTAGATACAAAAAGGAAAAAGGCTTTGCACTTTGTCATATCTTGAAAATGATCACTAAATCATAAAATTATATATATCGGAGTTGTCTTTTTTCAAGAATATCTTTTGATTAATGCAATGAGACACATTTTTTTATATTAATCAAAGTGATTTTGATTTGCAATTGTTGCGATTAATTATACTTGTTATATTACTTATCTACCTTGTGTGTTATTCAATATCTGGTATAAATTTCCAGAAACAATTTTTTAATGCCACCAAAATAGTTCATAGCGGAGAGTATTTTTTTTTGAAGATATTCACAAAGTGATAAGTATCGTTATCACTGATTCGATTGTCCATATCAAATTGTTGATTGTTTGAAAAAGTGAAAATCTGGCTCAGATTATCTGATTATTCCGAGTTATTATAAAAAGATCTGCTAAGCACTATTCCTCTAATCCACTACCCTAAAAATTTCTGGTTACACTGAAATATGTCATTAGCCAATTGGATTAAAGTTACTCGCATGTTTTGTCTCTGTGCATGAATAACAAATGGCATTTTTGAGTGATATGAACAAAACACGGCGTATGTTTATTTTATGTAGATGTTTTAATCGATTTATATAGACTTGTATTAATCGATCTAAATCGTGGTCGTTGGGGACGAGAGAATAGTCACAGCAATGAACGTCCATAGTATCATTTATTTAGACTTAGCTATGACATTGGTTTGGTAAAAGATGTTATTGTATATCTAGAAAAAAAATATTAAAATAAGAAAATATGGTGGTTTCAATAAATAATAAACAAGTTTGTTGCAATATTTTGTTTTATTCAGGCTTTGATCAGTGAGTTACAAAATAAAGCTTTACATAATATATTTAAAATAATGACTGGTATTTGATCCACCTGTATTTTTCATAAGGAAACATGGCGCGTTGGTAACTTCAATAAGACTATACAGGTAAATTCTCGTTAGTTGCCAAACTTAATTTTCTCACTGATACTTCAATATAAAAATATACAATTATGGTATAAAAATAATTCCTATATAATTTATAATAGCCATTGGTCCTGCGATTCGTATCAAAGGTGTTAAAACTTAAAATGTAAATCCAAATAAATTATAATATTGTTAGAGACATTATAAAAAATCTAGTCAGGGTTAATTTATTGCTTTTGAAAAAATTTCGTTGTGGAATATATTATTATTATGCATACATTTCTCATAATATGTATAGTGTGATTAAAACGTTATGGTGATTGTGAAATTAGCAGCGAGCATAACAATGCGCAGGTTACAATTTAGAGACATCCTGCACGCAGTTTTATCATTCGTTTACTGTGCTGCGACTAGCGCTAACTTCACAGCTGCCATAAAGTTTGATTCGCACTTAATAATACACTGCATTGAGATACGTACTAAGACATGGGAGAAACCAAAACCGGGACCCATCCTATGTCTAATACTAATAGTTTTGTCAATATCCAATTATATTAGTGTTATCCTAAGTAGCTTCGATAGTACTAGCATAGCGTAATAAGAAGTAATAGTAAGGAAACGGCTGTTTCGGCAGGGCACCGATGAAGTGTGGTTCAGAGTGGAGGGGGTTTGCCATAGGGATGTGCGATCCGGGTCGTTGATCCGATTTTTCGGATCGTAATGGATCGTACTGCTTCGATCTGATCCGCGGATAGGATCGCATGCCGTCGATCCGATCTTCAAGAAATCGGATCGGATTGGATACAATAAATAAGACAAATTATTTTAGATTTTTATTTGGTAAACCTATCAATAATCGTCACACCTAATCAGGTACAACTTTTGTTTATAATAATAGAATGTATAAGATTAACGGATCCACCTGCAAGGATGCCGCCAAGTTAAAATGTAAACAAAGATAAAGTTCGTAACAGAAACCTTAGTAAGTACCTACCCAATTTATTGTAAACAAACCGCGTTTTAATTCATACGATCCAAGCGATCCGATCTTTCAAGTTTTGTAACGATCCGGCATAAAATCGTATGGCGTCGATCCGATCCGAAAATCACCGGATCGTATGCCTTCCGATCCGATCTTTCAAAGGATCGGATCGGATCGGCGCATCCCTAGTTTGCCAAGCCTATTACTGTTGTTGAACATATTTATCAATCATTAAATTAAATCAATAAAAATAATAAACATCTATATTTGGTAAATATTTACAACCATATTGAATAAAATTATTTATTAAATTTTTGTTAATATTGATTTTAAGCAAGAGTAATAATAATTTGTAAAAATAAATGTAACCGACTGATAAAATTATCGTAATGAATATTTTCAATCGCAGACCGAACCAATAAAGATATTGACAATAAATCAACTTGTGAAAAATATTCAGATATCGTTTTTGAATAATTATATTAACTGATATTTTCAACCATTAGAATTATCTGATAGTTTTATTCAATATTAACTTTTAACTAATCTCTTTTTCAACCATTAACGCTACTTCTCATGTCAATCCTGTCCGATCAAAGACATATTGGACTGCGTTACAACTCTGAATCTCAACTAATTTATTGCAACCATAATATGTACAGTAAAAGGTGGTAAACTTAGATAATTACATCCGTAATTTCTAGAAAGAGCGAAAACTGCAAATATCTATACGAACTAAGGACCGCCCGGTTGTTGCGTCTCTCTCACACTTGTTTTGTATTACTTAACAGTAAGAGCAAGCGCACATTGAGCCACTAGTGGCTAGCCACTAGACGCAGCCACCGAACGCCGCCGCTAGTGGCTTAGTGGCTGCCACTCGAACTAAGCGTTTGCGCCGATACTATACAGAATGTGTAAAAATCTCGACCGCAGCTTGTGGACGCGTTCAATGCATAGAGGTATAAGAATAGAGTGGGGAAGGCGGCTGTAAAAGTATCCGTCTAGTAGAAAGAGAAAGAAGATGAGACCGCTAGCTATCTCTCTCTCTTGTGACGCATGGCATCCAATGGCATCACATCGAAATAGTAAGATGCTTACGGTTGCCAATGCGCATGCGCGATTAGAGAGAAAGCTAGCGGTCTCTCATCTTCTTTCCCTTTCTATTAAAGAGACACTTCCACTTAAGTAGAGTCTATATCTCACCTACTCTATTCTTATACCTCTATGGTACAATGCCGCCGCCGCTAATGGCGCAATGTGCGCTTGCTCTTAGACAAGGAATACTCAGTCCCTTCTAGGTCAGTCAGTCCCTAATACGTAAACAGTACTACAGTATGAGTCCGCCGGACTTATACTGTAGTACTGTTTACGATTAGCATAATTATCATGTGTTTAGTAGATTGTAGAAATTGAACGCCGAGATAAAGTTCTCTCGCTATTACATTTTATTAGACTATGGTACAATTGTGTAACACAAGCAGTGGCTTAAATAACTTCTGGACTAAAATAATATACAGAGGAGCGATACAAAAGTTCATTTAGCTTATACGAGACTAATCGGTCTCGTTCGGTCATGTGACGTCATCGCCGAAGTGCCGAGTTCGGCAACATTCGGGCGCCCATTTTACAGTAAAAAATAAAATAAACATACATATTTTCATTTCGTTTCATGTCTTTCCTATACTACTCATGGTTTTATTAAATCATTTTTATTTTTTTAACTGTTGTGGTTTTCTTTTTTGATAATATGAATGATAGTTTACTACATTTTATTTAATTATATGCCTATTAAAACGATAAAAGTCCTATATTATTTTTTTTAAATAAAATGTCATTTAAAAAAAAATACAATCTCTGCATTGGCCAATAACCTTTCATCGACTTTGTTGTACCGCTTCCTGTTCTAGCCGTAGTTCAGTTAATTAATTTACATCCAATAGGGAAATTCTTCACTAGCAACAAATACTGACCGAAAAACGCACTAACCTATTTTATACAATTTGGTTAATATCATAGCCTTGATTTATATGTGAGCGCCCGGGCCAGCCAACTAGTTAAATGTGTGAGACCAACAATCTGTGCTAGCGTACCCAACGCTTGTATCGTGAAAACTGTTCCCACGAAATCGTACAGTAGTTTGGGCGAAAACACAGACCAAACGAACAAGTGATGCCTAAATATTATAGCTATAACACAGTATATCACTATGGCGTAAGCTCTTTGGAAGGCTAATATGTTGCAGGCCCGCCACAACGACTGTAAGTACCTGAAAAGCAAATAGTGAATGTAAGAAACTATAATTATAAAAAAAAAACTGAATATCAAAACATATTTATCCGAAGCTTCTGATGGCCTATTCGCTCACTTTTTTGAGATTTGCAGGGTGCTTCCAGGGAGCATCAGAGGTCCGCGGCTCACCGGTTAAGAGCCTTTTTACAAAATTGCACCGCTGCCGTACTAATCGGCGTGTAGGTAGATTTGCACTAGTATATATTGCAGTCTACGGGATACGGATGGTAGATTAGTTTTATGAAATGTTTTGATAGTAATGCAATTTAATTCAATATCAAAATACGAGGTAAACCTGCATTATTTTTTGGGAAAACTCACGGAGGTTAGATCTTTTTTTTGATAATTAATGAGATAGAAAATCAAAATTCTAATAAATTATGTTACAACATAAATATAATTCTGATGTCATAGTAAGTAATTTTATCTAATTTATTGAACACTAGCAAACCCCGCGAACTCCGTTTCGCCACCAGATGGCTTCGTTTTATGTAACATTTCGTTTGGTGATTAAAAGAAGTTTTTTTTTTTAATTTTTCCTGAATTTTACTTTGCTATAAACCTCACGGAGCCCGAGACCTTTCCAACGAATGCAAAACCGTGGAAATCGGTTCGTGCGTTCTGGAGTTATAGCGTCAGGAAGGAAAACCCGACTTATTTTTATATAGTAGATTATTAAGAGATTCAGGCGTTTGAAGTTGTGCATATTATCGTTTTTTCTGTAAAGTAGCTGCAGTAGAACGATCAGTACAAAAAAAGGAAAATAGTATTTGCAAATATTCTACATTAACTTTCAAAAGGAAGAATAATTCTACTGTTGACTTCTATTGGAAATAGTCAAAATCTTTTCTAATGGGGTAAATAAGGCGCTCAAAAATTACGATTTTCTGCAAAAAATGTGAAAGGGCTCTTAAGAACCATTGCTGTAGAGGGACGTTATACTATTAGTTTCGGGCTTGCGCGGCGAGCGTACAGAACAGCGTGCAGCCGGCGAGCGCGGGCCCGGCGTACGCGTGCAGCCCCATGCGCGCCCCCACGCGGAAAGGACAGTACTCGCGCAGCCCCACGTACCCGGAGCGCAGGTCCCCAGCAGGCTGTAGGGACGATATACTCACTGGTCCCAGTTTCGGGCTTGCGCGGCGAGCGTACAGAACAGCGTGCAGCCTGCAAGCGCGGGTCCGGCGTACGCGTGCAGTCCCATGCGCGCCCCCACGCGGAACGGACAGTACTCGCGCAGCCCCACGTACCCGGAGCCCAGGTCAACTGAAGCCAGGCTGTTTGAGTTGCCCTGAGAAATCGAACATTTAGCTTTAAACCCGTATTTCTGTTCACAAGCACACTCAATTGACTACTATTCTACTCACTGGGAACTATTATAATTCGTATTTGGAATGTGTTTATTAATGTTCTGCCCGTATTCAACGCTGATATTTAATACAGCCAGGGGCGCGGGCAGAAGTTGGAAAGAGAAAGTAAAGATTAAAGTATACAATGAAGGAGGAAGGTGAAAAAATATTTAAAAAAAACATAAAATATTATTGAAATTGATAAAGAGCGTAATGTTTCTATCATTATTGACTTCAATCTTGAAATCCGTTTAAGGTTCCGTCGTAACAAGACTAAGATGTAGGTTATCATTTCAATCCTAAAGTAGTTTGGGGTTATTACGTCATATATGTATACGACACTTCCTTTTTTGGGTATTTTACCATTACCACAAACATTCGGTAAAATATTTGACATTTGTAAAGTTTAATTTGCGATCAATTGATAATCGACAGTGCCAAACTTTATTGAAATCTGTTTAGCTATACAAACTATTATATTTATAAAGAAAATGTTAATAAAATACGAGTGACTACAGTGCTTAGAAAAGGGATTCAAACTATGGGATAGCAATCTGTCACTGCTGATTTTGATTTTGTTAGTTAAAGGCTAATTTTATTATAAATGTGACTTTGGTAAGTATATCAGTGCATTTATATATCTTATGCTCATTGATTGATGATACTTCATATTATAGGGCGACAACTATTTTTATGAATGTTGCAAAAATTGGCACTAACGCCACCGTCTTTGTAAACGTCATATTTTATATGTAACTAGCTGTCCCAGCGAACTTCGCACCGCCACAAAAAAATAGAGGTTGTTGGTAAAAGGGTGAAAATTTAGGGTTGAATGATGTATCTTAAGAATTAAAAAAAACATTTTGACCAAAAAAAAATTAAGGACCACCGTTAACATTTACGGGGCTGAAAAATAGATGTTGTCCGATTGTCAGACCTACTGAATATGCATATAAAATTTCACGAAAATCGGTCGAGCCGTTTCGGAGTAGTTCAATTACGCACACCGTGACACGAGAATTTTATATATATTAGAAGATTTGCGGTCATTTACGCCCTATTATATATTTCCCTTATCTGTCACTCACATTCATATAGATCCTTGTCGCACTGTAGAAGTGAAGTTTTGATGAATGTGATATTAATAATGAAAAAGTTATATCTACTCACTTGATAAAAGAAGAAAACAGCTCCAATCCACAGGTGCGCAAGCGTTTGACTCAAAACATCCACTATCTCAGTGTTCCTCCCTGTTTTGGTATCGAACATTTTGTGGTCCAAACACTTAGAAGTCAGAACGCAAGTCAAATAAACACTTGGTACCATTATCACATTGTGGGGTCTCATGAGTAGAATCACGATCAACATTAAACTGTTCATCATCAGATGAGTTATAGACCTCGCCAGATTCAGTTTGACTTCCTCCAAATTCCATGGTTCTTCCAGCATCGGATCGTAGAAGTAATCCTCAGTCTTCGCTTTGGGTTTATTGTAGACGAATTTGCTGTTATCTAATTTACTGGTTGGGTTGACGCCGCACATTCTGAATATGCCAATGTACGTCATTATTTCGAACACAAATTGACCAATCAGAAGGCCCCAGAAAACGTTGACTATAATAACTGTGTCCCATTGCTTTACTTCGGGAAATGGGGTTTCGAGTGCCCCACTCGCGATCCTATAGGCGATGATCATTAGGGTTTGGAATACTGTGAACGCTGAGTGCATTTGCATAATGTTGTTTGAATAGCGCAGATTCCATAGACATATTGTTAATGTCGCGACCGTTCCTGAAATAATGAATAAATGCATAAAATATTAACGGATTTTGATAACCCAGTGGTAAACGTATTCTGAGAACGTTACTTTCGCAATGGCCGGTCATAGGATGGATGCTTCGTAAGGAACCATAGGCCGTTGATACTGGCTGCATCTGTAGTCGTTAGCACCCACTAATCCACATAGAGTCCGCGTGGGATGACTTGGCTGGTTAAGAGTAAATGTTTACAGCACAGCAGTGGGTACATTAAAGGGGCTAGGACAGACGAAGAGATTAAAAAATTATATCATCAAAATTAAGTTGAGAAAGGTGTTTGTCTAAAAAAATCGAGACGGGCAATTAGTTGTCAAATAGACTAACCTGTATATTACAGCGTAAGGCTGAGAATTGTCTGGCAATTAAATTTATTTACGCCAAACTTGGTTGCTAAAAAATGTGCCTGTTGTTTTCTCAGTCTAGCATATGAAAGTTGTACATTTCAGTTCATAAATCCACGTCAATCGTGACGTACCGAGTGAGAGGAATCGACTACTCGAAAAAAGATGCACCAAAAAAAATCATAATTTAGCACTTATTTGCACTGCAATTTCCACTGTACAGTAACTCACCTACTAACAGATGTATTTCGAGTATCCAAGCATTTTGAGGTTCATTCAACCAATCTGCTGTGTCCGGTAGAAACAGCCATCGGTCCCCGGTTTGGTTCATGGTTCTCAGATACCTAGGTAAATATATATGTAAAATACTGGTATATATAACCCAAGATCTTCATTATAGGTAAATCTAAATAGTTGAAACGGTCAACAATAGGCTAGTTGACTCATGTCGAATTGTATGAAATAAGTGTTTATTTCTTAATGTATTTGGTCTAAGGAACCTAAATATATCGATTTCACTTCATAAAAGCAGAAGATAACTGTAGAAATTTAATTTAAAAAAAAAATTTTTAGTCTATACTTTTTAAACACTGAAAACGCTGTTCGCCACATCCGCCATGATTGAGACGTCTCTTTTAGTAAACAACTAAATGTCATTCATACATAACATTAAAACTTGTATTATTAAAACTGATAATAAATGAAGAGACTTAAAATATTATTCAATGAGTACTTACATCAGAGTGATCTTCGCAAAACTAAATTCTACTATGAGTCGATAAAGTTGCAGGATCACTTTTAGCAAGTTCTAACCAGGTATTGCGTAGGTTAATTTCTTTCGGCACACAACACAACCACACAACTTTCCTGAGGCCTTCAAGGATGTGTTTTTACATTCTCGTACAATACAATACTATAATGATAATTACTATATTTGTTGTATCTATTAGAAATCATGTTTTTTTTTATTATAAACTCAGTTAAGTTATTTTCTACGTGCTTACGAGTTTTTGTTTACTACCGTCAACGTCATAGCATGGATAGACTAAAATGGCCGACAGCGTTTTTGTATGTCCATGAAAAGTCTATTTTAAAATTAAAGTTTTGTAGCTTTCTAGGTCTCAAAAAAATACAATACATTTTTTTTCGGTCTAATAGAAAATTTATTAACCGTTATTGACGACGTGAACAATTGTATCTCTAAGGTAGTCCACTGGTTCAATGTTAACAATTTATTATTTAATGAAGGAAAAACGAAATGTATGAAATTTGTATTACCTAATGTAAAACAGGTAAAAACCAGTGTGAATGTAAAGGATAGGAATGTGGGCCTTGTAGACACCACAGTATTCTTAGGGATAACTTTAGATTCTAAGCTTTAATGGGGCCCACATATTGATAAATTGTCAAATAGACTTAGCTCTGCAGCATATGCCGTAATGAAGATACGCCAGTTAACGGATGTAGATACGGCCAGATTAGTGTACTTTAGTTATTTCCATAGTGTAATGTCGTACGGAATTTGATTGTGGGGAAATGCCGCCGACATTCAAACTATTTTTGTGCTGCAGAAGAGAGCTTCAAACTATTTTTGTGCTGCAGAATCAATTTATAATCTTAAAGTTAAAGAATCATTAAGAGATAAGTTTAAGGAATTTGGAATAATGACGGTCGCATCACAATACATATACGAAAATTTATTACTTGTAAGAAAAAATGTTAATTTGTTTCTTAAAAACAGTGATGTTCACACACTTAATACAAGAAACAAAAATAAACTAACTTTACCTGCTACTAGGCTTCATAAAATTAATAATTCATTTAAAGGTCTTTGTGTTCGCTTATACAATAAAGTCCCAAGCAATATCCGAGAGTTAGCCATAAGTAAATTTAAAGATATTATAAAAAAAACACTTATTAAAAAAGCTTATTACAAAGTGTCTGATTATATTACAGACAAAAATGCTTGGGTTTGAACTGTTCCAATCATTCCAACAGGTTTTCTATATTAAATAAATCATAATTGTATTGACGTTCTAACAATATTCATTATGATGAATTGTAAATGTTGTTACATTAGACTTTTAATGTTGTGGAGTTTTTTTCGCTCGTTTTTCTCCGCAGCTAAAAAATATGTCCATAACGAGTGGTAGGGAAAAAATTTTTTGGACGAGTCAAAAGAGTTGTACTATACATCCAATTTGAATAAAGATATATTGATTTCTGATTTCTGTTTAAAACCTTTTTCCAAAAAGGGTCAACTAGCCTATTCAGCAGTGTATTTACACACATAGCAGCTCTCGCCACGACACTATGTAAAACAGTTACAATTCTCTAATCATTAGTGGTTGGGTTTAAAGACCATAATCGAATGGACAATAATTTACAATTAAAACTAGCGGACGCCCACGACGTCGTCCGCGTTAACTTCATTTTTTTCAAAATCCCTTAGGAACTTAAAATTGTTTCCGGGATAAAAAGTATCCTATGTCTCAATCGAGGTCATAAACTACATGCGTACCAAATTTAATCCAAATCAGTTCAGTAGTTTTGCGCGATTGAGTAACGATCGTACAAACTTTCTCATTTATAATATAAGTAGAAATTAGGATAACGGAAGAAATACTAGTCAATAAAAACTTCTTTCTGTGATTGCTTTATAATAAAAACATTTATGACTTACCTGTGCAACGCTATGAGCAAGATCCACTTGGGCACAGTGGCTAAATTATCTTGCATCTTCTTTAACAAATCAAACTTGTCTCGTACTTCTGTGGCACCCGTGTACGCTTTGCCAATGTACAGCAAGAGTGCTGCTAAAGTCCTCACTAACACAAACAGCATCAGAGTGTTCCAGAAGAAATACCACGTCATATGCTCTTCTTCTATAAAACTAGTGCCGAAGAACGACCACGCATGGAAGACCGTTCCGAAAATCAGGAGGTAGTCAACAGCGTTCAAATCCTTAAAGGGCGTCAAATCTTTTATCTTTTCCAACGCCGTTTTTATCATAAAGTATGTCATTGTGAATACACACGCTATGAGCACGAAAGCGGCTCCCCATACTGATTGGAAAGAGCAAACTCGACTCTTGGTCTCAGTGATAAAACACATTATTGTGAGTATGGTGATAGTCACTGTTAGTATGACGAAGAATGCGAGGAAGACGCCCATTCTGGTGGACTTGTTGTGGGTCAAACTGATTCTACGCCCTTGCTCAGGTTGTAGGGAATATAGGGTTATGCATAGTAGAGCCATCACGATCTGGAATAAAGTTTTAGGATAAAATGCAAGCAGCTATTTGCAAATAAATAGTCAATAGTTTTGGAGTTTGTACTTACAAAGTACAGTAGTATTGTGGCAAGTATGAGTGCGAACATGTCGAAATTTACAGTTGTCTCATTCAGATATTTTGCCATTTCCGTCAAAGATTCCTCGTAGAACTCCTTGGCGATTTTAGCGGCGCTCTGTTGTCCTGTAGCTAAGTAGTGAGAGAACTGCTTCTCCGCTCTTTGGTATTGTTTGAAGAATTCTGTGGAGGTAAGGAACTTTTTAAGTTTTTTTTTATAGCTAGGTAGGCAAATGACTCTCCCTCCTGATGTTAAGTGGTGATAAAGTCCAAACGCGAAGATAGCTGGTACAGCAGTTATGAACTGCTACACCAACCATCCTCACCTTGCCGGCCTGCAAAAATGCTTCTTCACGCCTCTCTTAAAGGATCCCAGATTATAGGAAGGTGGGAACGCGTGCTATATTATATTGGGAAAAGATTATATTGTTTGTAAATATCAACGAATTAGAAATGATCTGGAAGCATTACTTTATAACAAAGTCCGCTAAAACATGGTTCCAAACTCAAAACAACTTCAATACTAACGCGAAAAACAAATATCTGCAAATGGATTCGGCTATCCATTTATTGGGTCAGATAATGTTAATCGGAAATCCCAACCAGTCCCATGACCGTCGTGTTGATCGCTTTTTATTTGTCCCGCCCACTTGATCGCAGTTTGCGTAGAACCACTTTTTAGCGCAGTTTATATTCCATATTATTTCTAATTCGTTTGTGCGTTTCAAAGTTCAAACTTTATGCAGGTTGTGAAGTTAGCAACGAGAGCAACTATGCACAGGTTCTAGTTCCACGCGTGTTTTTAAAATTCGTTTAATGCGCTATCACTTGCGCTAATTTCACAGCAACCATTTATTGTAAATCGCACTATACAAAAACGTGATGTTTTACGTGCACTTAGAGGCATTTTACCTCTTAAAACTATATCCAGGTCTTCATTACTCTTTTCAGTTTTGTAACAACTAAGCTTATTAAGGGCTAACAAACATTATCATCATATATCTATAAACGTGATTTAATATATAAACAGACGAAAGTAATCTGATCAAATGCTTTTATTACAGTGAACGATCCCCATTTAGTGTTGGAGCGAGTAAGCGTGAACTTGGATGCGTTTTTAACATATTTTCGGCCGGTGTTGTCGAGTGGCGGTAAAGCGTTTTGCAGCCATACGATAGATGGCGCCAGGATACAGACATTGAAGATTGCTTCGCGTTGTGTGGGGTCATCACGAGCAGTAAGTACAGATGTTGCTTCATATAAGGGGTATTAGCTAGGGCAGTATGCGGCGGATGTTGTCGCTATCGTACATCAAGATTTATGATAGATGGCGCCTGTAGACTTGTTAAGATTTATCTAGAATGTTTTGATTTTGCTCATCTGCATCCGTCTGCGGCCGTCGGGTTGCTTCACGTTGTGTGAGGTCATCTCGTGCAGTAAGTACAGGTGTTGCCTCATATCAGTAGGCAATAGCGAGGGTATAATTCTGCCAGTATTATCGCCAGGCGCCATGTAGACTTGGTGTGATTTATCTAGAATGTTTTGATTTTGCTCATCTGCATCCGTCAACATTGACGGTTGCTTCGCGTTGTGTGAGGTCATCACTTGCAGTTAGTACAAGTGTTGCTTCATATCAGCAGGCAATAGCGAGGGTAGTATTCTGCCAGTATTATCGCCAGGCGGCCTGTAGACTTGATGCCATCTATCTAGAATGTTTTGATTTTGCTCACCTGCATCTGTCGGCATTGACGATTGCTTCGCGTTGTGTGAGGTCATCACGTGCAGTAAGTACAGGTGTTGCCTCATATCAGTAAGCAATAGCGAGGGTAATACTCTGCCAGTATTATCACCAGACGGCCTGTAGACTTGGTGCGATTTATCTAGAATGTTTTTATTTTGCTCACCTGCATCCGTCGGCATTGACGGTTGCTTCGCATTGTGTAAGGTCATCACGTACAGTAAGTACAGAAGTTGCCTCATATCAGTAGGCAATAGCGAGGGTAGTACTCTGCCAGTATTATCACCAGGCGGCCTGTAGATTTGATGCGATTTATCTAGAATGTTTTGATTTTGCTCACCTGCATCCGTCGGCATTGACGGTTGCTTCGCATTGTGTGAGGTCATCACGTGCAGTAAGTACAGGTGTTGCCTCGTATCAGTAGGCAATAGCGAGGGTAGTATTCTGCCAGTATTATCGCCAGGCGGAGGCGCGTTCAGAAGCCACGCGACAGATGGCGCCACATCCACTTGTGCCACAGTCGGGCCTGGGCCTGCACTGTGTGCGGACGTGAAATATGCGAATATGTGAATATGTGAAATATTGCTTATATAGAAAACGGCTACAACTTAATGTTGAAACAATTTTTTTCATTCCGTAGTAATTTTCGTAGTAAATTACACGTCAATAATAATTTTAGAATAGAATAATAGAACTATGAATTAAAATGTCGAAAGTCAATTCTAATGCCAATTCCAAATCTATACATATAAAAATCAATTGCTGTTCGTTAGTCTCGCTAAAACTCGAGAACGGCTGAACGGATTTATCTTATCTTGGTCTTGAAATGTTCGTGGAGGTCTAGGGAAGGTTTAAAAGGTGTGAAAAATTCGAATTCTACACTACAGCTCTACACCGAAGCAAAGCGAGGGCGGGCCACTAGTCAAATATAAGTACATCACGCTTATGCTAATAAAGATGGATGTGCTGCAATGGAAATATTTGAACGGTCAGGGTCATTTTGGAAAGGTGTATTTTTTGGTGTGGTCTCAGGATCAGAACATCAGTTTTTAAGCTGATATGCGTATTTTATTCTTTAGTTGATTTATTTGTTTGCAACGATTCTGGACTAATATTTGGATGCAAAGTACCTACAAGCGAATAATGGAAACTGGAGGGGTTCTCACGAAATGCAACAGTTTCTTTAGCCATTTTTGCATAAATGCATTATTCGAACAAAATCTGACGATTGCGATAAATATTAGAATTAGACTGCCACTTATTTGGTTTTTTTCAAAATGTAGTGTGAATAGAAGTATTGAAACAATGAATTTTCAATTGCGCTTATATCATGATGTATTTATGTAAAAGTCTTTATGTTATGGCTATTTTCGTAAGAACTGCTATAATGTTCTAACCAGAATATTTTTGCTGATGCAACAAACTGTGTTGCTACAATGTATATTAGGACACACTGCATAATCTTATTAAATTTTGTATAGAGAGCATGAAATCTTTTATTATCACTGTTAATTTAGAATTCGTCTCATTTCCAGAAGGTTAGGGCGGTCGGTCTGTGATCGTGGAAGTTAAGCAACAGAACTATCTCAAGCATTTCAATGCTCCTATTAGCTTGGTCCTTTTCTATACAATAGGAACAACAAGGAAATCATCTTATATCTATTACCTTACCTTATAATAATTGTAAACCTAGACTCTCAGATTGGATTTATGGCATAACTTTTGAAGATGTAGAAAAAATAATTAAACTGTAATACATTTACTACCATGTTCATATTTTCAGCAAAAACCTAGCAAGCGAACACAAACATACATACGCACGCAACTTTTTTTGTAGATGGTCTTAGAATGACTTTAATCATTGTTTACTTACGGGTAGGGACATTCGAAGTCATTACTTTTGGCGACCACTAGGGGCACTAGGACTTCCGCAGGAGAGGCTCCACCGTGTCCGCCCGCGTCACGCATCCCATGGTCTCCACATATAAGCAGCACTCCAGTTCTGTCCTGATAAAAAACACCACAAATATAAAATCCTTTCTTGTTATCTATACATATAATAAAATGGTAGGAAAGTCAAAACAATAATATAATTAAGTCGGGTCAACATATAGGATACATATTTATCATGCTATCACCTACGGGGAATGAGCAGTGAACCTTTATTTCTAACTAACTCCACTCGTACGAAGTCGCGGGCGGCCGCTAGTTATAATTATAACAGTAAAAATGAATATAAAATTACTTACGTAAGTAGTTCTCCATAGTAAGTTTACTAACACATATTATAAAAATGTGAAAGTTTGTATGTTTGTTACTCGATCACGCAAAAACTACTTAACGGATTTGGATGAAATTAGGTACCCATATAGTTTACCGCAGCGACGGCCAATGGTTTACTTGTCTCGTTCTAACAAGTATATGGCCCATATAATGGTAAGCAGGCACCATAGCCTATAGACTATTTTCTATTTATTTTTCCCGTGGAGCACCCGAAACCTATTTACTCACCGACAGAAATATAACACTAGGAAAAGGTGATGTTATTTTAATGTGGTCTTTTCTAAGGTGGGTGGGGTGGTGAAACTTCACCATGGTGTTCAGAGTTGCAAATCCTCTTTGCCCTTTCTATTCGTTTCCCTTTCCCTAGCCTGCGCCGACGAGGGGAAATTGTCCGAGGACTTTTTAGTCCGCCTAAATAAATCGCTTACAACTGCTTCGGGTAACGCATATGTCGTATTCAAATCCCGTGTATAAAAAGTCTCCCGAACTACCGAAGGCACTGAGAGACCGGACAGAAATAACACACAGCGTAAAATAGGTAATTGAATAGAAAAAATTGCATGTTATCTTTTTATCACTAAATAGGTTAAGATTAGTGTTGCGAGGTCCGATTTGTTTTAAATCGGTACATGAGGTCAAAAAATCGGGATTTAGGGCTGCAGATCGTGACAGTAAACAAAAAACAAAGGGTTTTTAAGTCTGGGTTTAATTTATTGCGTTTACGAAGACTACTACTGCAAGTATAGTATTATATTAATTACTTTAATTATTTTTTTTTGATTAAGCGGGAGTTTTTGCGTCCCGATCAGGTATAAATCGGGACGCGTCCCCAGACCCCTGAAAATCGGGACGTCCCGTGCAAATCGGGACACCTGGCAACACTAGTTAAGATACAATTTAGATGAAATGTAACATCATTATTTGTACCCTATTTAATGTAAATAAATTGAATTGAATTGAATCTAAAAATGACTTCCAAATAATGCGCTTTCCTAAAATTTAGCGGTACAAATGTTCGCACACCGTGTGCGTTGAGTCTGTGACAAGTAATTTTCTTTCTGCACGTTTTGTTTAAAGTCCCTCATCTGCGTAGGCTATAATTTTAAACAAGACTTAACTCACCCACTTCTGCATGGCGCTGAATATCTTTTTGACCACATCATCCATTTCCTTAAGCTTGACTTTGATTTTTGAACTACGAGCCCCCTCTAAGTGACCGATGTGGTCTAGACCTAGATAGTGTAATACGAGGAAGTCGAAAGTAGGTTTATTTTTGTCATTTGGTGTCAGAACTTTATCCAAATGTCTTGTTACATTATTATCAACCTGGAAGCAAAACGTTCTCAAATTTAACATATGAATAAAACTTTCAAGACATTACTTTATTTAATGGAGGGCTTCATTTTTTTTATTGATCTTTAGTTAGAAATACATTTTGATAAGACAATGTTATTCTGAAGAAAATTAATACAGATACAATAAGGGTTTTATGGAATGACTGGCGCTAGGTGGCAGCACTGAGGCGAAAGGCCTCGGGACTCATCCGTCAAATCATTTATGTCGTTATAGTCTATGGATCAATGTAAATGATCGTGCGATGAATTCACAAAACTTCAATACAAAAGTCCTCACGTCACACTGGCGCCAACCAGTGACGTGAATTTTCCTATACCCTCATTAAAAGAATCCCTGAGACTTCGAACGTTGCTAGCATAGTTCAACGAATACTCAAAGGTAATTTACCTCAGTATAATCAGTAACATAGAACGAGGTAGTGCCGTCGTACTCCGCCCAAAGACCTGGGAACAGTCTCAGCCACGTGTCATCTCCATACATGACGGATTTGCGCCCTCTATCAGCCGCGACGCGTAACACACTGTCGCCGCGGACTGCAGGCGCGCCGAAGTTTAACGCAACATCAGCGAACGTGGACACGCTACCAGTCATCATTGCCTGTTAGATATAAAGAAATGCGATTCTTATTATTGGGGATCTGAGCAGAGATTTATTTACACAGCATCAGTCCCCGTAGCATGAGCACCTCGATTTACTTTATTCACGCTTTTTACCGCGCCGAACTGTCTAATTCCATAGTAACTTGACAATTGAGCGTTATAAAAACCAGCTTTATATCATATCGCGGTGCGCATGCTAGGGGGGCATACCTATGTAGGTATCCCAAAAGTAATACTGACATTAAGTAAATTTATTCTTGATGTACCACAACCAATTACATGTTGCATTAATCATTGTTTTAATGCCTGTACCTAGCAGACAAGATGCAATGGCAGTTCGCTAATTCTAATATGCAATCTATAAGCAGTAGAAGCAACATTAAGCACGTGGTACTACCGTTGAAATTATGGTCACTTTAACCAAAACTTTGCCGTACTAAATCGCCAGTTGTTATGCGTTACGAAGACGCATCGCATCGCAGTTTTGTATGGGAGCCTTTAGTGATTAAATTGGGTAAAGCGTCGGCGTCCACCTAATAGACCGAAATTGCGCGATTACACTGATGCTCATCCGATATGGCAATCGAATGTAGAAAGCAGGTGTGCAGTGATCCATTTTGGTTGCAAGTTGCAAAGGCTATGATCACGATACTGTGTGTTGTGTGTCGAGAACAGTACTACAAGCGAGCAAAACACAGAAAACTATACCGAGCAAGTATTCGTATCGCCATTGTCAAAGATTCTATGGAAAGAGCTTGTTAGTTCTGACGTCCGGTATGGGCGCTGCTCAGTTTACATACAAAATCTTTGACAAACATTGCGAATTTCCGAATACTTATTCGCTAGTTGGTCGTGCTTGGGGTACAGGTGCGAGAACGTGAACACTGGTACCCGCTATCGAGCGATAAAAGACTTCGTCGGAGGGCAGACCGATATGTCTATAAACCTGTTTTCGAGAATGGCCTGGTGTACGCAACTTTGATCGTGACCCAGTGTACACCATGAAAACAGTTATTATTTCCAAAACTAAAGAGGAAGATTTTTTTTATTATTGCACTAATTAGGCACTACTTAATTGCATAAGTAACAACCGCGAACTCGATGTGGTGTACGCTAGTATGACTGACACAGAAATAGTTTTTAGGTATTGCTACAAGCAAAGCAATTTCGCTTATATCAAAAAATACTTTAATGTAAGTGACATGAAAGTTTAAAATAATATAATTTTATGTTATGTGATTTGAGGAATAAATCAAGTGCTTAATTGATACTGATAATGTACACAAAATCAACATGCATTTCAATAATAACACTGTATTTTGAGGAGACCAAGAAAAACTATGTTCACTCTGGACATTTCACAGGTAGAGAAAAAAAACTTATGTAAAAAATGGAATAGTACATTAATGCAGTGGCCAGCAAGAGGCATTGAAGGTCGAACGTGTAAATGTGGGCCAAGGCAAAGTCAAGGCACACATATGTATTACATATTATGTAAGTCCATCAATGCCTAGTAGTCCCAGAGCCGGCGGTATAAAAGTCCTATGGATCAGATACATGAATCATTTTTGGGGTATGAACAATAAAGCCATAGGTCTAGCGGTCGACACCCCGGAAGTTGCTTGATTTTGCCCGCATGTAAAATTATGACGTCACTTCCGGTTTTTTTATTTTAGGTGTTATTGTAATTTATCAAAAAAAATATCAATCTATTTGAAAAGATATGCCAATAATTTAATAATTAAACATACATAGAGATGAAATATATAGGCCCTTTAATTCTTCAAACTAAAACGACAGTCAGATCCGGGCAAATAAAAGGTGTCAATAATTTTTTTCAGTCATTTGAGAGGTTCCAGTTTCAGAAAATCGTAAACAAATCCATGTATTTAATGACTTAAGATAAACTAAAAGAAAAATATTTTTAATGGTGGTTGACTCATGGTAGCGAATAAATAGAGCTTGTTGACCCTTGACACAAGATATGAGTTTACTATGTAATTATTTTTGGCTTCTAAAGACAACAGATATGAATTTTCATACAACTTTTACCGGCCGCTGCTCGAGTGTATGTAGCCAGTGCAGCAAATTCGATTTATCTCAAAGAAGGTTGTCATAATAATGCTTTAATTTTCAAGCATGTTTGAGAAAATATAATAAGGGATTTTGTTTTTGAAATTACTAAGTTTTTTAATACTTAGTTGTGATTTTGACAGAACACACAAACATAAACATGCACCTCAAACAAGCAGTACAATTCCGAAAGCACAGAACCAAAGAAAAAACTTACATTAATTCATTATTAATTTTATACTTGAAGTTTTTATATTTTATATGGCTGAATGTTTTTTCTTTGATTTTGATACCAAATAATGTGATGCCAATTTTATGTGTAATAATTACAAAAGGTGACACTTGCGAATATATCCCTCCAGAAGTTTATGGTGCGCCTCCACTGTGCCTTTAGGATTTTTCTCTCAGGTGACTGTACATAACAAACCATATTAAAATGTGATTACCACATAACAAATAAAAGTTTTAATGGTTCAAAAACTAAATTTTGTTAGTTAATAAAATATATCATGGGTTTTTCTTTGGTACTGCACTAAACTATGACAACTTTTAAACTAGTTTTTTATAAAGAAAGAAAATCAGTTAATCATCATAATTTGTATTTGTAATGATTCATGTATATTACCTTTATTCTGGGCATGGTAACAGTTGGTGGCTCTGCTATGGACACATATATGCAAGCAGATTTATTCTTTAACAGTCCAGCAGTATATGGCATGTACTCTTCAGTGACAAAGTCATATCGTAAACTGTCTATTACCATCAAAACTACACTGTGTTCTCCAGAATTGTACACGGTTTGACCATCAATACTGAAAAATTTGAATTTAAGTTTCATTAGTGATGTGGTATTTATACAATAATAAAATTATTTTAGATAAGTAGTTTGATGCCATCCAAGAGCAACACGGCTGTCACGACTAGGAGGGGAGTTGGCATACACAGTTTTCCCCTCTGTCAAGTTGGGCATACAAACTATACATGAGTGTAGGATTTGGCAATATAATGTATCATTGTTTATGTGTGAGTGTTGTAGTTACACTTTTGTTTATATGCATGTAGGTTAAACTTAGCTTGTGTTCTATTTCTCCCCCCGCAAAAATTACAGATTGATTTGAATAGTATTATGTGTAATAGTGGTGTCGATTCTAGCATGATTATCTAAACTTAAAACTAAATTTAATATCAGTCTCTCTTTTCATTTTGTATCGAGAATGACAAGGATACACTGTTGTCAAATTTAAGTTTAGATTTAGAGAATCATGTCAGAATCGACACCAGTGTATGTACTGGTAGCTTTAATAAAGGCTTTTTTATTTATTTTTACTTTATTGTCACTTTGGCTACTCCTTTCTGTGTTGCTCTACGCATCCATGAATTAGGTATTCTGATTATGTGTTAGTATTGAATTTAAAACAAACAAAATCCTGAACTATAGTCGAGTTTAATTCAGAATTTTGTTGCATAACCATTTATTGCAAATACAGGTGGTAGCTTATGCTAATGTGTACAATTAGTTCAGCTGTATTCTGTCTTATTGACAAGCAAGGGTAAAGATTCAATTGACTATTAATAACTAAGCGAACAATTATTAAAAATATTATAATGACATCATAGTTTTAGAAATTTTGATGATATTTAAATCAGTAAGTAACACATTAAGTATCTACTCAACATATTTCAAGGCAGAGGCAAGACCAAATTTCTGCAGTCAATTGTTAAAAAAGTATTCATAGACATTATTAAAGTATTAGTCTTAAAAATGCAACAGCTATCTTTGTAACTGGTCTGTCCTAAACAGGAGTATGGTAATTTGTAGTGTTTTGTATAAAAAAGTTAAAAGACTACATAATAAATTTAATACAAAATTTCACCCACCTGACACCATCAATAAAGTTGGGCAAGTCATCCATATGGGCTAACTTTCCTGAATGATATTTTAATGGAAAAAATCCATACAGGAACAGTATCAAAGCCCCAAAAGCCATTATAAGCAGGCATAATGCCGTCCATCTATTACGAATCCACGACAACATGATAAAGAGTGAACTAACTATGTAGTTACTGTTAGGAAGTTGTACAAGCAAGGGAAGGACGTGCAGTACCTAGCACTTTCGACTCTGTAATTAATAAACACATAACATTTCCCGCGTTCCAATCGACTGGTGCCGTATTGAGCAAGTAATTGCAATGTATTCATTCACTACTTTTTTCAAAGAATACGAATAATTTGCCACCGGTTATCTTCGTTAAATGTTCATGTGCGATAATGGCAGAGATAATGAAAATTCTATACAATTTTTTACTCGCGTGTAAAGAACACTTAAAAGTGAAACGCCAGTTATTTTGCGACGATTAAAAATCACAAATCATAAGGAAATTAATTTCTTTTTTATTACTTCCGTGTAAACATTCCCACTCACTATAAATATAATGTAAGCAATTCACATGGCTATTCGTATTTGCTATTTTGACAGCAAGTTATTTATCCTTATCATACTCTATAGAGTATGATAAAGAGAAACTGTTGTCAAGTTTACAAACAGTAAACACGTATACTAGCTATACGATATGCCGGCCTAATATTTCGTTTCTAGGTCAATTGTCAATGTCATATGTTTTTTTATTATTTTCTCCTTTTTAGGTAGGCAAAGGTTTAACCATACAGCCATTGTCATGGTCAAGGAAGCATGTTTTAGAGTTTTTAGGTGGTCAACGAGATGAGGGGAGAGGAGTTTTATATAACCCTTTCACCAAACCCAGCGGCGGAGTACCTAAACTTCGAGCATTTTCTATTCTTAGGTGAAAAAAAGATTCATGAACGATCCTTTCTCGTGTTTTCATACTTATCTTTTGTATGTAATTGTGTGCCAAAGAAAGTGCTCCACTGAGTCATTACCGTAATCACGTGAGGTAAACATACTCTACTGCACTCATATTCATTCATCCCTATTTACGGAGATAGACCTTGGTTGGGACGATACTTACAGCGCACAGAACACATTCTGTGTTCTGTGATACAGCTTATTAGACAACAGATGTCGCCAAAGATTTCAATAGTTAGATATGTCCTGACACCGAAAAACTGTGGCCATATTTTGCAGTGACGTTATGATGATGGTCGTTTTGACACATTACAATAGTGAAGGTAAAGTCATTTTTTTAAAGTAATGCTATTAAATGCGAGTCTTATCTGGTTTTTTTTGGTATTTTAACCAACATTGCAAACAGTAGCTGATCAAAAGGATTGAATCAAATGAAAAATATAAATTTCTAGATAAGCTCAGTGATCATATGTGCGGCGATCATTTTGATTTATTTATTATACATTTCGCATTTAAAATATACAAATGCTTAGTTATGTGGTGAATAAGTACATTGCAAATTATATTATCACTAGCTGACCCGGCGAACTACGTACCACCTTTATAACAGTCGATAAATGTGGCTATCTTGAATATTTAGCTTAATTAAATTTAGGACTTTAAAAGCGAAATAAAACAAACAGGAAAAAGTTCAATAGTTTACTCGGATTAATCTAAATATAAAATAAAGTCGTGTTAGTAAGAACACTTATAACTCAAGAACGGCTGAACCGATTTTTATGAGAATTATGATTTTTTGGAATCCTCTCCGCCTCGAATAGCAGAATTAAATATAGGAAAAATCACGGGAAAAAGTAATGCGGAAAATTTATTGTTAATAAATAAATTAAGTTTGATATTCCGCCTTCTTCCACAATTGACAGCTCACGTCACAAAAGCACAAAGCTTATTTGTACCTTCTGCAAATCTGTTACTACAGTATAGATAGAAAATGATCGCTCTAGTGAGTGATATTGTAATTTAAGGAAAATACTGTAATCATAAGTGAAGTTGCAATACTAGCCAATATTTTGGTAAGGAACCGATGGATATAACTTCAACACTATACTGCATCAAGCATATAATATAAATATCAATATCGCAGTTTTCATTTCATTCTATCATAAATTATTAAGTTATTGGTGTCGATTTTGGCATGATTCTCTAAAGCTAAACTTAAATTTGACAACAGTGTATCCTTGTCAATCTCTATATAGAATAAAAAGGACAGACTGATATTAAATTTAGTTTTAAGTTAAGAGAATGCTGCCAGAATCGACACCATTATTTATTAAGTTTATTTCCTATAACAGTAGTAATAAATTATTTTTAGTTTAATTTTTATTGCATTTTCTGTTTCCAGCTAAGTTTTTAATCTCCGACACCACTTAGGTTGGCTGGAAGAGATCTCTTTTAGAGATAAGCCCACCTTTGCTTACTATGTACTTGACTATATGTTTTAAACTATATGATGCAATAAAGAGAGTATAATAAATTTTAATCCATTTGGTTTAATTTTCCAAAAATATAGAACTATTCCTAATTGTTCAAGAAGTCGTAGGGTATTTAGAGATTAAGGGATGTCTGTGTTTGGAGAATAGTTATTAGGAAAATACATGGCAACCCTGGCAAATAATAAACCCAAGAAGCTTATATTGAATAAACCCCGTTTTAAATATCGCTGATACACTGTTAAAGTAAAAGTTATAGAAATTTTATTTTCTCTATATGGGTATATTATCCTTATAAACTATTTAACTTTTTGTATTTGTTTTAATGCGGCAGCAAAAACATTAAATTAAATCATAGTAAATATAAATCAATATAACCATATTCATTGACTTTTGGGCGGCACGAAGTTCGCCGGGTCAGCTAGTTAGATATAAAGAAAATATAGAGAGAGATATTATAATTAAATGTTTAAAACGGGTATTTTTTACCGGAAGCCCTAAATAAAATTATGGATAATATATTATATTAACTAAACATAATAATACTTAATATAATATTATAGTTTTGTAAAATTTTGATGCTATGCCCTAAGATTACCAATTCGATAAATTTTAGGATTAAGTGCTCGTCACTAAAATGAAGAACAGTAATTAGTTCTTTCGAATTTAACAATAATTGTTTTATGAAACTTCATGATACGGCGGACAAGCGTCAAAACACACAGCGCGGTATCGAAAGAATAGTGTTGTCTCTTTTTGTCTACCAATATTTTCCAAGAGTTCTTTCTCTGTCATGCGCTTTCCGATCAGATTTCAATATTCATGACAACGAAAGAAAATAAGTTTAATAAATTTATGAAACTTATTTTCTTGAAATGAAAAAAATAAATCTAAGAACTTAGCTTTATTTGTATTTCTTGAATTGTTGGTGGACTTTCGGGATCCACACGACGACATTTTAATACAATTCAATTTCTTCTCTAATGGCTCCTTAAATATTAAGCCAATGACTAGTGTATGTAGCAGGGATTGTCTATTCTATGCTTGTTCGGTATATTTTTAAATGAAATTTAATAACTCTAAAGTGTAGCAGGGTATTGAGCAGGTACAAGGACGAGGAGTGACTGAAACCGAACAGTGTAGGAAGAGAATTTAAAGTATGAGGATGTTGAGATACCTGAAACAATTAAAGCTTTTTGTTAGGGCATGAAGCGGCAATAATCTACTTACTAGCTATAAGTTAATGTTATTATTGTCAATATATGCACACAGGACATTCACAAAATCCGAGTAGACAAATAATAGTACGGTTTTAAAATTAGCGGGGCGAGGGATAGACGTAGGAAGTAAAGTATAGGGGGAGGTTCTAGGGCAGTTGAAAAAAATGTGATCTGTGGTACCCTCGTCGAGGCCACATTCGCATAGGGAGCTGTCCTTGACCCTGATCTTGGCTAAAATACAGGCGTGCATACGTGTCCGAGTCTAAGTCTGGATATGGTGGAGATAACTCGTTTTTTAAAATTGCGAGTTCGGAAAAACCAAGGGACGCATGGAATGTCCGGTTGTACATTAGCGTAATGTAAGCCTTTTGTCTTGCTAGTTTTTTTCCAGTCTTTAGACCATTCTAATAACAAATTCGTCCTTGCTATGGAGGCTAGATCATTGGGATATATGCCATTGTGTGTGAGAGAGCCACTGACCGTAGCTTGCTTGGCGCATGCATCTGCTGTCTCATAGCCGCTGATACCTGTGTGACTCGGAATCCACACCAGAACAAACTGTAGCCCTTGCCGATGACAATCTAATAGAAGAGTCTTGATTTTTAAAATGAATTGAAATTTAAATCTACATTTAAATTGATTAGAACGGATAGCTTGTAAACAGCTCTTTGAGTCAGAGAATAATACTACTTTATTAAGTTTGTGGGATTCAGCAAATTTAAGAGCTTCTAATAGAGCAATGGCCTCGCCTGTGAAGATTGAGCAAACAGGAGGACATTTGAAGTTTAAAATTATATTATATTTAGGGATCCGACTGCAGATCCAACATGACTTTCTCCAGATAATTTTGATGCATCTGTATTATATTGTAAGCCAGTCGGCCCATTTCTCAGAGATTATCTGGTTCAACCTAACTTGTGCATCTAATGAAAGTTTTTCTATGCCCAAATTTAAAATTACTTCTGGTTCATAAATTAGAGCTTGATAAGGGGTTTCAAATAGAGGGTTCAGTCTACATTGGTACAAAGGAGATGGGAGGTTTATTAGTTTTCTGTAGCTAATCAGCAGACAAGGCAGGTCTTTATGGGACCAGTATTCATTTGTAGGGGCCAGTTGGCGTAGTAGATGAAGTTTTGGAATTAGAGGATGTGACGTACGTTGGTAGATTTTGAAGAGAAATTTATCTGACAGATATTGTCGGCGAAATTCTAAGGGGGGTTCAACACACTCAACCTGCATTGCATTTATGGGGGAGGACTTCATGGCTCCAAGAATGATTCGTAGATATTTTGATTGTATTTTTTCTAGGGATTTCAATGCAATTTTACTATAGGGAAGTAAAAGAAAGCTGCCATAGTCCAATAAGCTCCAGATAAGGGAATTATATAATAACCTCTGTGTAACTGGGTGGGCACCCCACCAAACTCCTGAAAGAGCTCTTAGAATATTCAAGTTTTTTTTCACATTTTTGGATAGTATAATTAATATGATGGACACCTGTCATCTTA